GCTCGAACCCTGGTATGATAAGCCCTCAGAAGCCCCAGCCCCAAAGCACCAGGGCACCACGATGAGCTTCGAGGACCTGGGACGGAGAGGGGTTTGGCTCTGGGCTGACATTCGATAAGTTCGAAGTCCGTGTGATTTCCTGGAGTGCACACTTGCAGATGCCGCGAGACCCGCAGAGTACGTATTGCGCAGATTCCCACAGAGTTCCTCGAGTACCCCCCACCCCTGAGCATCCGTCCTGCGGAGCATACCTGGATATTGGAAGTCGAATACTGCAGCATTTGTTGCGAATCCACCTTGCCGTTCAGATCACACCTTGGAAATGCACCCGCACCCCAACTTCATGTCAATCGGGAGCGCCTGGCAGCAGATGAAGTTACACCAGTTGAAGCCTCTTGTAGGATGCTGCCCCACGGCCGTCGGCCAATCTGTCGCCGTCGACCTTGCGGCAAAAAGCCACCTGATGGAATCAACAACGACAGGTGAAGCATTTCCCTTCACTTTGGGTCTATTATAAGAGATTACGTAAAGACTCATCAACCCCGAACTAAGTCCAAAACAAAGGACACACGCGCTGAAACCCAAATGCCTCTTCCCACGCCGCAAAGGCCGCCAGCTTGCGCCGGCCCCTGCAGGCGCCCCCACAGTTCACAAGCGGAGGGTTGCACACCCTATTTTGGAGGACTTTCCTCTCTGGGATCTTTACATATATATATATATATATATATACCTGTATGTAGGTTGAATTTGTTTATCGTCTTAGTTATGTAGGAACCTTGTCAAGGGATGCAAACAAAAACTGAATCGTTCAGAACACAGTTTTCAGGATACTGAGGGTAGAGTAGACAGTGCCCTCTCCCCCTCCTCTCTTTTCCCCCTTGAGGCGGTGAAGCAAGAGGCGCCTGAGCCCAGCCGTGCGGCGCAGGATCCGGACCGCCAGGTCCCAGGGGTCCGCAGCGGGTTTCGGGTTTGCACCTTGGGTTTTACAATTTTACAAGCTTTGGGGCGTTTCAAGTATGACAGCGCCAGCACCTGATTTAGGAAGGATGACGGTGGCTTCAACTCACCGAACGTCATATCCTAAAGCATTCTGCACATCTGCATCGGGTTCTTGCTATGCAGATGCACCGGGAAGAGGTTTGTTTGGGGTTGGTGTTTAATCAGGTCCATGGACTGTCGTCCGAGATGTTCGTCCACCATCCAAGTAGAGGAATATACTTTCTTTTGTCACATTCTTGCATTGTATGTACTCTACAAATAGCAGACCCTGAACCCCCAAAATTATAAGCTCGTGTTCTCACTTTGGTGGGGCCTCTGCCCCACATAAGGGCTTCAGGACCTCGCGTCTTGGATGGCTCTAGAGGGTTCTTAGGGTTCATGGGGTCTAGGAAGAAACCTCCCAGCCTTGTGTAGACCCCAAACCCCCTTAACCCTCAGACAGCTCGGGATTCTCGTGCACTTGACGCGCGAGGCCAAAATCAAGGCCTTGGCTGCCCAGATCCGCGCAAAGGCAGGAGCCCTGCAGCTCCCGAAGCCCCCCCAGAAGGTGAGTTGGGGCTTGTACCAGAAGGTGTGTTGGGGCTTGTAGTGTAGGGGTGGAGTATAGAGCACCCTAAATGCTTTCCGATTGGTGTTTCTTGTTATTGTTCTGCTGTTTTGTTTGTTTGCTTCCCACTGTTTGCCTTCAGCTGGTGTGGCTATGTGGTGTTTTTTGTCTTCGCGTGTGTGATGTCGCTTCCATGTTCTGCTTTCCGTTGTTTCCCCTTTTGCCGTTGGCCGGTTTGGCTTTCGGCTTCTTGGCTTCTTGGCCCTTGCACGGCCTTCTTTGGTGGCTTCTCAACTCTTGGGCTTTGTGCGCTCTGTTGGGGGGGGGGGGGGGGGGGGGTTCTGGGGATGACTGATGGAGGCAAAAAAGTTGCAATCTGACACCAAATGATGCATGTCTGCGAAAGAGTTAAACTTCACAAGCCGAAAGGGAAAACTAGTGGCTAAATCCAAGAACGCCCTGTGCCCCTCCAAACCTCGTATTTTCATCTGGGGTACCGGTATGCCCTATCGGTCAATTGCATAGTGCCCGTAAGCCGAAACTAAACAAATTAAACCCTACAATGACCCCTAAACCCCTCAACCCTCAACACCCACATGTGCACAGGGTGGGTGTTGGTATCCTAGACGCCAAACCCCCCTAAGCCCCAAGCCTCGATTCGGTGCTCAAGGTTTCTCTCTCTTCGCACCGTTTTCTTATACCCTTTATAAGCCCTCATGACATTCTTTCTTGGGTTTTATCACCTCTCCCCTCCCCAAACACCCTTTAAAACCCTTAGAAACCCCGAGAAAAAAAAACACCCCCCTAAAAACCCTTCAAGCCCCTAGAAGCCCCTTAAAAGCCCTTAAACAAGCCCATAAAAAAAGAAAAAAACCTTAGCAACACCTAACAAAGCCCTAAAAAACCCCTAAACCCGAGCCCCAGCCGCAGGCGCGGCGAAGTGCCGAAGAAGAGCTGGCCGAGGAGGCCAAGGCCCGGAACCCCCTGGGAGTGTAGGGTTCAGGGTTAAGGGGTTTAGGGATTTGGGGTTTAGGGGTTTGGGGTTTAGGGGTTTGTGGGTTTAGGGGTTAGTATTGGTGGATGAGTGGAGTGTGTTTGTACCACCTTCTCTCTGATCCCTTCTGTGGATGGTTTAGGGGCATGAGGAGCTTAGGATGTTTTGGAACAAAGGCTTACAGCATTTGGGGGCCTGTGGTCCTGAGGGGCATAGGGTTCAGGGCCTCGGGGGTTGCGGGCTTAGTATGTTGGGGGGCAGGGCTTAAAGCGTTTTGGGGGCTGGTGATCCTGGGGGTATAGGGTTCAGGGCCTTTAGGGTCTGGTCTGTAGATTTGTGGGTTGAATTTGTTTGGGATGTCCAGGGAGGTTCGGGTCTTGGGCTGGCTTATATGCTATGTGGAGATAGACAGTTTCAGCGTTTAAGTTTGCGAGCATGGGGCGTGGAGCTTTGCAAGCTTCATAGGGCATTGAAAGCAGAGCTTTGGAGCGTATTCATGTTTAGGTTTATAGTTGTATGGGATGTCGACAGCTGGCTCGGCTTGGGGGATCGGATTTAGAGGTTTCACTGTTTAGGGCTTCAGGCTTCACCAGCGGTTTTGGTTCATGGGGTTTCGTCAGGGTTCGTGGTGTGAGGGCGAGTTGCGCTCATGCAGGTCGTCGCGGGATGTTTGGGATGTTTTGAGGTTCTTCGACATTATCTGTTTTGGGGGGATTCGAGATGTACCGAAGCTCAAGATGTTGTGGTCGTTTCCTGGTGCTTTGAGAACCTTGGTCCCTGAGACGAAGTCCCAGGCACCGCCTGCGCCTGCGGAGCAGGCACACGGAAACTGGGGTTCATGGGGTAAAGTTTACGGAAGTCCTGAACCCACATCCCCACACCATAAACATAACCCCCAGAACCTCTATAACCCTAATGTTTCACCCTCCTTTACCATCCTTTACCTTACATCCCTCTCCACCCTCTCCACCCTCGCTTCCACATTTTTTCAAGATTATAAGTAGGCTCGGGGAAGGTGTGTTGAGATGACTGGCTATCGGCTCTCCTTTTGGTCCTCCACACGCAAGTTGGCCTCAGACCCTCTAGGGCTAGGATTCAAGGTTTAAGGTAAGCCGAAGAATTGGGTTCCTAAAGCCCCCGAGAAAACTCGCCACCCCTGCACCCCCAAACCCTATGCCCCCCCCCCCCCCCCCCCCCAAAAAAAAAAAATCTAATCGAGTTGTATGTATATATATATATATCTCTCTCTCATAAGAATCACGACGAGTCAAAGCCCCCCAAACCGAAACCATGCCATCGGACTCGCGGCCATGTCTGTTCCGAGGACACCAGCCACATAGAAGGCCTTCTCCAAAGCTTGGACCAGAAGGATGCCTGGCGGAATGTTTAGGGCCTTGAGGGCTCTGGGCTGTTGCGCTTAGACCCGTTTCCAGAGATAGCCCAACGTCCCTTTTGTCAAGGAATGCACCTTAACAAACAATGAAAAGAAGTGAGGGTATGGCCCCCTCAGCTCTGAACACCTTTCAACCGGTTGGAGCCTAGCAGAAACTCTCCGACGACGGAAAGAGGCCATCAATTCCTCATCCGGAATGGAGGGAGGGCATCCATCGCACAACGCCTACCCTTTTGAAACCGCCAGATCCCAGAAATCCAACCTCGACTCTCCACCCAACCCTGAGACCCAAACCCACAACTTAACTGACATGCTCATTGGTCCAAAACATCTCCTATGATGTGCCCTTCTATACCTGAAAGTCAACCCCCCCACCACACCCACTGCCACCACCCCTTCGCCCAACAGCAGAAGCAGAAACTCCTGACCAAGCCCGAGCCTCAAAACTCGAAGCCCTGGACTGGAAGCAGGAGCTCTCTTAAGAGACTTCCCGAGGCCTATTCGCGCCCCAAAAGAAAATCCCTGAGCCATCGGTGCCCTCTCCGCCCCCGAAAGCAGCCGTTCCCAGGTCGCTCACTCCGAGGACGAGATCGAGCGCATCGCCATCCTCGCAGCTCCTCTGGCCCTGGAGGCGGGCTGAGATTAGAGAGATACAATCAGCCCTGAGCTAGTGTAGACATATATTTATTTATACACATACTTTGAATAAAGACTCTGTATATACGTGTGCATATATGCATATATACACATATGCTTTTGATTCCTGTTCCGGAAATATTACATATATATATATATATATATATGTGCTGCCCCCCCCCCCCCCCCCCCCCGCCACCCCCCACCCCCACCTCTATGCGCCCACGTTCTATCAGACAGTACAAAGACTCAGTTTTCGTAATTCTGATGCTGCCCAGACATCTCGAGGATCCCCTCGCAGGTGGCCGTTAATTCCTCACAGTGTAGCAGAACGTCATGGGATGCCGGCTGACCTAGAGCCTGAAACGAGTTTTCGAGTTGAATGCCACTTTGACCACTGTCAACTGCAGCTGCTTCAGGCCACTGAAGACATGAAGGACTTGGCAGCATCTCGGGGAAGGGGACAAAGCCCTTTAACCCTAACCCCGTTAAACAAATTTTTGCGGGACACCAGGTCTTCCTTTGTCAACATAAGTGCTTTGGGCTTGGGGAGGGATGTTGAAGCTTTACGGTTCTGAGGTTTGGGGATGTTTGTGCTTGAAGGCTTGGGAATGTTTAGGTTTCAGGGACTTTTGGTTTGAACCTTCCCCATTGTCCCCGGCCTGAAACTCCAAGCTCGTAGTAGTAGTCGTTGTTGCTACAGTAAAAACGCTGTATAAGAAAACGGTTTTCCGGCGATAGGGTACCCTAAGTTTCTTAGTTTCCATTGCCCATGTACCCGGGGGGGGTTTGAGCCTAGGGTAGGCTTGGTTTCTAAACTAATTTCTTAAGGGAGTACGCTATACCACTAGACCAAACCCATGTTCCAGGAATGGCGGTGGGAAGGGTTCCCGAATGTGACTCCCGCGCGTTTTTCGGGTAGGGTCAGGCCGCAGGCGCGGGGGAGTCACGTTTTAGAGCTTTTCAGGGCTGAAAACCTCTAGAATGTGACTCCCGCGCGTTTTTCGGGTAGGGTCAGGCCGCAGGCGCGGGGGAGTCACGTTTTAGAGCTTTTCAGGGCTGAAAACCTCTAGAATGTGACTCCCGCGCGTTTTTCGGGTAGGGTCAGGCCGCAGGCGCAGGGGAGTCACGTTTTAGAGCTTTTCAGGGCTGAAAACCGCTAGAATGTGACTCCCGCGCGTTTTTCGGGTAGGGGGGAGTCACGTTTTGGAGCTTTTCAGGGCTGAAAACCTCTAGAATGTGACTCCCGCGCGTTTTTCGGGTAGGGTCAGGCCGCAGGCGCGGGGGAGTCACGTTTTAGAGCTTTTCAGGGCTGAAAACCTCTAGAATGTGACTCCCGCGCGTTTTTGGGGTAGATCCGGGGGGTGTTGCGGCAGGATTTTTTAGAAACCCTAAGTTTCTTAGCTAGAAGGCAACCGCAAATCGACCAATATTCCCGGGTCTAGGGGCTCAGTTTCTTAAACAGTGGTTTCTTATACAGTGGTTTTACTTTTGTCCTCGTACTGGTACTAATAGTATCCTCCTCCGCCTCCTCCTCCACTACTACTACTAGTACCAGTACCAGTACCAGTACTAGTACTAGTACTAGTACTACTACTACTAGTACTAGTACTAGTACTACTACTACTACTACTACTACTACTACTACTACTACTACTACTACTACTACTACTACTACTACTACTACTACTACTACTACTACTACTACTACTACTACTACTACTACTACTACTACTACTACTACTACTACTACTACTACTACTTCTACTTCTGCTACTACTACTACTACTACTACTACTACTACTACTACTACTACTACTACTACTACTACTACTACTACTACTACTACTACTACTACTACTACTACTGCTACTACTAGAAGAATAACAATAGTAATACGACAACAACCAAAAAAAGACACTAACAACAAGTTGTACTTTTTCAAGCAGGAGCTTCAGGCCAATGCTGTCCGCGACACCGAGCGCTGCGTTCGGACTGCGAAGGCGCGAGTTCGGACCGCAAACGACCGAAGCCTTGGCGAGAGTACGTAGTAAACCACAGGCACATACCCCCTGAAAGGGAAAGTTATGTGAGTTGTTGCAGGTAGCTCTACCGTTTGTGGTTGTCATTGCAGCTTCTAAAAAGTCGTGGCACGAATCAGGCCTACTCAACCCTACTACCTAATCACACGAACATCCCACCCAAACCCCGAACCCTAGACCCTAAACCGCCCCAAAGAACCAGTTGAACTTCGACTCCGCGACCCGGGACGTCGAGCGCGCAGAGAAGGAGGCCTTTTTGGGGGGGCACGGGGCGGGGAGGGGGGGAGGCGGGCCTTTTGCAGTTCTGGTTCTGGGTTTGCGGCTTATACGGGTTTAGGGGCCTTGGGGGTTAATGGGGTTGATAGGGTTTAGGGATTAGCGTGTCGAGGGCCTCGGGGAATTTCCCCTGTAAGCTCCACAGGCTGCAGCCTTAAACTTTGAGCTCAAAGTTGCTGGGGAGAAGCCTTGAACAAGCAACCTTTGAGGCTCTCGCAGGGATTCGTCACCCGTTTCCTTCAGCTCAGGGTCAAGGGGTTTTGGGCATCAGGGGCTGGGGAGCCAGCGAAAAGGGCATTTAGGGTTGGGGGCTCACCCCCAAGCCTAAAACCTAAGTGCGCCCGCGAAACCATCAAACACTGCGTGCATCCTACACCCCAAACCCTAGACCCCAAACCCTATCGTATGTAGTCCCTAAATTTTGAACCCTGAACCCTGAACCCTAACACCTTACCTCCACAGCTGGCGTCGCGGTTTCCCCGGTTTGTTCTACGCCTCGAAAATCACTCGCTTCTGCTCGCGACCCCCACCCAATCCCCATTACGGACTGCTAGTATAAGGGGGAACATCCTGAACCCAAAACCCTGAAGGGTTGAGGGAGCATTCTCCAGGTCACCGCATTGGCGGCCTCCGACCAGGCCCCGGCACCCCCGAAGCCCGAAGACCTCGAATCCAAACACCCCGATGTTTTGCTTGATTATGTTTGTTCTAATTTGTATTATGAGCAATGATATATATATATATATATATATATATATATATACATATATATATATACATATATGTGTATATATATATATATATAATTTGTGCTCTTTTTTTGGGGGGGTGATGATCAAAAGTTTTTGTCTCTTGGGGATCCCTTATACTCCTACTCCTGAAACATCAGGGATACTTTCGGCCAGGCAATGTGGGGTCTAGGGTTGTTCGTGGCCAAATGTCCCAACTCTCCCTGAATCCTAGAAGAACCCATGTACCTCAAAGGGAAGAAAAGCCAGAATTGCTGCTGCTCATCACAAGTTGCTCGAGGTACTCTCAGTGTGAGTTCTCCCTTGATAACCTTGCGAAATCGGTAGGGAACGTCGAAACGAAAGTGAACACTTGTCCTAAAGGCCGACTCCTAATCAACAACGTTGTTGGAACCCTCCCCTAAATCCCAAAAAAACCAAAATACACCAAAAAACCCTAAAACAAAAACAAAAAACAACAGTTCACCGCCGGGGTGCAGCAGCTCAAAGAGCGACTCCAGGACAGCCGATTTTTTGGGGGGGGGGGGGGGGGTTCGGGGCTTCGGTTGAGGGGGTGGAGCGGGGGGTGGGTGGTTTAGAGCTTCTGGGGATTGCCTGCCCCTAAGCGTCGACCAATACATTCCCAACATTAAGAGGGCTTAAGGGGCGGGAAATCTGAGGTAGCCCATAAATTGTGCAATCGCAACGCTGTTTCAAGCTAGGCAGCGTTTCCTCAATCAATCCGACAAGCGATAGACCTAATTCTCATCAGGTCATTGAGCATGTTGCCTGTTTTGGCCAGGAAGCTCAGAAGAAGCTGGATGATCACAAGAATGCACGCCGAGACTACGAGCAAGCGGCCCAGGCACGACGCTTTCGAGCTGACTGCGTTTAGGCTTCCAGGCTAGTTCAGGGCTTAGGCTGGGCTGGCGCGGGGGGGGGGGGGGGGTTACAGTAGGAAGGTAGCACTTGTAGCGCTTGAACCGTATCGGCTTATAGGGTCCGCAGATTTGCTGTGCTCGATGTTCGGCTTGACAGAGACAACATGTGCGGGTAGACATGTTGACTCTCGACCTCCTGGATCACGTCAAGTCCTTGGCAGTGTCCAAGCTTTGAGGGCAAACAGCTAGCAAGTGTTATCGTGACTGCTTCATTGTGGACCTTCCGCCCTAAGCCTTCAACCATCAACATGAAGCCATCAAGGAGTCGTATTCTCGGCCATCGAAGCCAGCAACGATCTCCTCCACCTTTGAGGTTAGGATTTGGTGCTTCGCGTTTATTGTGAGGTTTGGGGGTCTGGTTTGGGGCTGTAAGGGTTCTGGAAGACCTTGCATAGACCCCAAGCATTTGGCACTGTGGCAGGCCAGCAAGGCTTTCGGTGATTTGGCCAGCCGGCTGGCAACAGTAGAGATGGACTGCGACAAGGCTCGCCAAGATTTTGTGGGTTTGGGGCGCAGACGGCGAAAGTTGCTTTGGAGCTATAGGATGATTCAGCATTCATATGCCGTAAGTTTCTTTCGGGGCGCAGATTTTGCTGGCTACATCCAGGGTCCCTGATGCTCTTGCAACGGCATCAGAAAGAAAGTTCACACTGTTGCACATTGCCTGCGCAACACAGTTAGAAGGCCCCCACAGACATACAAAGAACAAGCCACCCCGCCGCTGCTCAGAGATCATGATGCTTAGTAGGCGGGTGTGAGGGGAGACTGGTAGCGTTTATAGGCATTCGGGGTCGATGTCAGACGTCTCCTTCCCGCTCTGACGAAACCAGCTTAGTAGGACGCCTACCCCAAGTCCTAACCCCTCGGGCTCTTTCAAGCTGAGGCCTACCACCTTACAGGCAGACTCTCAGAACCGACCCCTACTCGGGTCCCGTCTTGAGACCCTCAACCCTACAGGCCGCCATCATGGCGGAGCCGGTCGCCAAGACATTGGACACTGCCCCCAAGGATCCACAGTGGCACTGCGAGCTTCGGGGTTTGTGGGGGTTTGAGACACTTAGTGCCTGGGGGGGGGGGAGGGGAGCAGGTGACTGGAAAGTTTCAAACCTTTGCTGCCCAACCCTAAGTCCGAAGCCTCGTGCTGCTCTCCAACCCGAGGAACCCGCCCTTGTCCTTGGCCATACTTTGCCTTTCAGCCTGACTATACATGTGCGAAATGCGCGCACATGGGAGGGGAGGAGAGGGGGTGGAGGGAAGGAGCCTAGATCGATGCCTTCCCCCAGACTACTGTAGTCTTCAGAGACGATCAAAAACATGTAGAGGGCAGTCTAGGGATCACATGAACCCCAAGCTCTGACCTCAAGGAACTCTCACCCGCGGATCTCCGGGAGACAAAAGAGGCCGTGCGGATCGCGCAGGCCCTTCTGGGGACCCTGCCTCAAGAGGGTCGGGGTTTGCACGTGTCATTGCTTAAGGAACTCTTAGGGTTGCCTCTGCCAGATGAAAGCGAGGTGTTTGAACAGGACGCCCTGAGTTTGGTGGGACCTCCTTTGAAAGGAAGGAGGTAAGAAGGAAGGACGCAAGGAAGAAGGGCTTGAGGACCGGATTATAGGGTTGGCTTGAGTGCTGGCAAGTATGTTCCGTGTCAAGGCTCAAGGCCCGCGGAAATGGGATGCATGTCGCTTACCTGACGGGGCATCTGACGGTGAAACCCGAAAGACTTTAGCCCCTTTTTCCCTTTTACCCTGCTCCCGGAACCCCGAAAACTAAACCCACCAAACCCAACCCAAGCATTAACAAGGCTAAGCACTAAGTGCCCCAAGAGCCTTAAAAACCCTCAAGACACACAAGCCCGAGCCCTTAAAGCCCTACACTCGAAACCTTACCACCGTGAGCCGCAAATGCCGACCCCAAAGAGCCCCCCGAGCTCCCCTAGCTGGTACCCTAAGCTCACTATAAAGAATGGGTCTTCAGGGCTTCGGGGGTGGAGAGGGAGAAGAACCCTCAAAGCCCCAAAAGAGCCCTAAAATCCCTAAAAGCCGCAAGGGGGCTCTGAAAGGCCAAGCTGGCGCCCATCGCCCGGCTCATCACAGCCAAGGCCCCCCCAAGCAGAGGGGGGGGGGGGGCAAGTAACTAAGGGGAGTTTTTGAGAGGGGCTTTCGACTCGAAGCACGCCTTTCATAGGGCTTGAAAGGGGGCTTGAGGGGGGGGGGGGGGGAAGAGAAGACCCTATAAAGGTTTTCGGGGTTTTCGGGGGGAAAACAGAGGAGTGCCCCCTTTGAGCACATCCAAAGCACCAGGAGATGGGGGACTGCTCAGGGGGTTTACCCAACAGATGCCGAAGCCGGAAGCCCCCCCTTCCCCCTCCCCAAGAGAGTGAACCTCGCGTCCCAAAAAGCCCTCTGAACAATTTGGGGTGGGGCGGGTCTTATTGATTTTGAAAATCGAAGCCGCTTCTGTCTCCATGTCCGAACCAGGCGACGGGCCTCAGGGGCACCATGCTGGAGAAGATGTCCGACCTGCAGGCCTCCTCGCGTGTCCTAAGAAGAGCAGCCCTCTTTGGCAACTCTTTCAGAGCTAAGATTTCCAAAACTCTGCTTAAAAACCACTTGCACCCTGGAGCCCTAAACCCAACACCCCATCCATCCACTAAAGGTATGCGTAGGGTAGCGGTGTGCATAACGTTTCGCCCCGCTGAAGGCACGTGCAACCTTACTTGCCACGAATGACTCATGAAGCCTCAAGCGTGGACCTAACACCCCAAGCCCCAAGCCTAACTCGCGAGAACGAACTCCATTTCTCGGGATGCCTTCCGGCCAGGCTCGGGCTCAGGCCTGCCAAGTGCAACTGGACAAGGCACCTCTAAGGAGCAAGGGTGTATAGGTTAGGGGAGGGCCTTGAATCCATGTGTGTTCTCGGCCTTGTGCCATCCTTCTGCACATCGCTTGAAGAACTTGGGACAGAGCCAAGCGAGGGCTTAGGGCCCCCGGTGCACTCTTGCCAGGCCCAGAAAACCATCGACGAGGCGCAGAGCCGGGTGGCGGCGATGCCACTTCTGAACCAGGCTTGCTGTCCGGTGCATTTAAAAGGTTTAGAGTTTAGGTTCTGGGAGATGGGGGTTCGGCGACTCACGCCCGTGCTCCGGCATGAAACCGCTGCAAAGCTCCACACACGGGTGCTTGCAGGTGCACGTAGAGCTCTTTGAGTTCCCGTTGCTTGTGTTTCGCCCCTCTCTTCCAAGCTCTACTCGCAAGCCTCGGGCCCCGGGCAAGATGTGGCAAGATGCGCTCACGCGGCAAACGCCGCAAGGCCGCCGAGCGCTTGGCGGCAGTGGAGGAGATCCTGGAGAAGATGAGGGAGACAGAGGCTGAGGGTTTATGTATATTACCCTTGCTATCGGCAATATTCTGTGTAAATATGTATATGTAAATATAAGCCTAAATAAATAAGCAAGTAAATGTGTGTATATGCATATATATATATATATATGTGTATATAAATATCTTGAACCTTGGAAGCACGGAAAGCAAATCCCATGAGGCACCCTTCCTCATGGGCATCGAGAACTTGCCCCCGGAGGAGAGCTGGGGGCCGTTGCGTGTTGAGGGGAAGTATTTCAGAAGCTTACCGGGCTCTCTCCTTCACTTACACTCCTTATGTTGTAGGCATCCTTTTTTTTTTTTTTTGGGGGGGGGGGGGGGGGGTGTCCTCAATCTTTCAGCAACCCTTTGCCTTGGACAAAATGGGTATAAAGAGCGTTTGGTGTCTTGTTCTGTATTTGGGGGTAGCTTTACCCAAGAACCCCCAGGCCTTGCCTTGCTTGGATAATTCAACAGCTCTGACCGCACATGGCCGGTCATGCCAATGCATTCGTACACACGTTCAACGCTCGGAGTCGAGAAGGTCGCCCGGGGAGTCACGTAAACAACAAGAATCAACATGACGTAGTCATGGCCCCTTGGCCCCTTTTGGGGTGCCCCAATTATTTTGGGCCGCCTTAGAACAGTGACCCCAAGATTCAGAGAAGCTACCATGTATTCTGTTTTTTGTTCAAAATTGTCCGATATACTCCATGTAAGGACAGCCGAATAAAGTCTGGAGTCCAGAGTTGTTGACAGAGTTACAGAAGAGAATATATTAGGTGTTTCGTGTTCTGTTCCCGCCCTGGACCCGTTTGAGAGACCTTTTGTTTTGGGCCAGCACTCAGAAAGGCTTGGAAAGACACTGACTCAAGCCCTACACAATCCTGAGTCCCTGAAGGAAGCAAAGCCGGTGCTTGACAAGATGGACAAGGACCACCCTCTGTCACCTCTGTTTTCTGGGCGGATCTGCGGTTTGAGGGTCAGGGCACGGGGTGTCGAGGAAGCCTTGTGGAGAATAAGGTTTTTAATCAAGGTTCAGGTTTTTTTGTTTCAATGAACACCGAGTCCAAGACCTCACAATGTATGTATCCTGGCACTTTCAGGCAGTCCTCAGGTACAGTACATAGTCGGTTCTGCAGCACATGGCGGAAACCCGATGCCAGACATCTGGCATCCCGAAAGTGTCCCTGGGCCGTGAACCCCCAAAACAGCTCAGCCTCAACAAAGTCCTGCGGCGTTGGGTCAGGCGTAGGCGTGCACTCGGCTTGCTTGTGCCGCGTTACATCGGCAGGATCGTGGAAGTAAACAGATCCACATGAAGGGTCGGACAAGCTCGCAGCCAGTTGGGATTTGAGGTTTACAGGCCCAGCATGCCTTGAGTTGCTTTGAGGTCTGGTTTTCAAGGCTTGACATGGAAAGGCTAGGTCTAGGGTGCACAGAGGGTCCTACGCGAAGGCTCAAGACCCGAAGGGCAAACTTTAAGCCCTTGGAGGCAGCAGCCCTGGCCCTCTCCGCCGTGGCCGACGCGCACAAGTACGCTCAAGCCTTGGGACGGGGAACGGGGCAGGGGTAACCCTGCCTGGCAAGTGTGAGACTTAGGTGTGCCCTTTGGACACATCGAGGGTGGGTGGTTTTTAGATTCTAGGCTGCACTCATTGATGCTCCAGTCTGATCGAGTCGCATAAGAGGCGCACAAACAAGAAACATCGGCTTCCATGGTCGCACACCACCACCCCTCAGTTCGGGAATACAGGATTTGCACTATGACCTACGGGGCATTTGTCTCTCTGGATCGTTAGCCACGAACACCCCAAAATATTCCGGAGCGTTCCGAGGTTAGCCTCAAGATGGTGGAGGTAGGCCGCTTGGCAGAGGCTGGGGTCCCCCCCCCCCCCCCCCCCGCCGCCCCCCGGAACAGAGAAGAATTGGTATAGAGAGTTAGAGCCCAGGTGGAGTCGACAAGGTTTAGAGTTTGTAGCTCAGGGTTGAGGATCTGTTTACGCGTTGCGGGCGCAATCCTGGAACCAAAGTCCTGCAAAACAACCTTGCGCTTGGGACCAGCACACTTACGTCAGAGCTGGGCAGGTGACAGCCGCCGATGCCCGCAGAGAGCTTGAGAAGGCAAGGCATGTGACCATAGGCATTGTCTGGTAGCCCTAAAAGCAGAACAGAAGCATCCTAGAACCCTCAGGACCGTCAACAGCCCCTTTTCCCCTAAAACCTTTAGAGCTGGGCAGGTGAAGAGGCAGCTCGATGCCAATGCCGAGAGAGCAGCTTGGCTTAATGCAGCTCAGGCTTGGGAGCTGGGGAGCAGGGCTCAATTTGAGGCACGCTTTTGGGACTTCCACGGTAGGACCCGCCCTCTAAAACCGTCCCTTCCTTTGCAAAAATGCACCCAAGCGCCGCTGCTTCTTTGCTCTGGTCTTGGGAGAGTGGGAGCCCAAAAGCTAAAAAGCCCAAGCCGCGTCAAGCCTTAAGTTTCCCTGAGACCCTACGGCCTCAAATTCCCTTGCTTGTTCAGTGCTGACCTAAGACCATCTAGGCCACCTCTCCAATCTTCAACAACAAGATTTCGGGCTTCCTGAGGTTTACTTGCTACTTGTTGTTGCTGAGTTTGCAAAGTGCCTACTTCCCGACTCCCCTGAGAAGCCGTGGGCTTGCCGTGCTTGCAAAGGCTTTTGGTGGGGGGTCCAAGACACACACACACACTCTCTCTCACACAAGAGTGCCCTAAGCTCTGAGGTGCGCAAGTTCCAGCTCGACACGACAGCGCGCAGGAAGAACCACGTCGTGTTCAGCATGAAGGCCGGGCTTTCCCCAAAGGGTTTTGGGATTCTGGGTTCGGGTTTTCGGGCTAAGCACTTAGGGATTCGGGCTTCGGGTTTTAGCACAGTAAGTAGAGTTGAGGGCTTAGGCCGCTCTAGGGTGGCAAAAGGGGTCAGTCCCCATTTAGGGCTTGGGGTTCAGGGCTAGTTACATGAACCTCAGGTCAGTCAACCCTGACCAAAACCCTAATCATCCCCTCTGGCACCCTTCACCTCGCCTCCTCTGGTATCCTGCTCAACGCCCCTAACACCGCAAAGCGCAAAAATGCCACGGCCCCAAATCGAAAAACTGTGAAGCCCTGGCAGGAGCAAGTGGACGCAGCGGAAGTAGCTGTCCAGCGCATGCAGAGCCTGGCAGGCGCGATGAAAGGTACTGCAGGAGCTTGGATGTCGTTAAGGTTTTGGGGCTCTAAAGCCTTTAGGAACAAGCTCGGGTGCTAGGATGCCTGGCAGTGCTGCAAGTACCGTTGAATTCCTTCTTTTATTGGTTAGCTTCCTACAGAACCTCCATACTGTGAAGAGGAGGATGCTTAATTAACTTCTTACGTGTCCGGGCAACCCAGTTTGGAAAGTTTAGGTGTTCCAGTGTTCTAGGGTTTGTTTGCTGATAGCAGCTTTTGAGGTTGTTTATGGTTTTGGCCACGATTGTGGAACTGTCGCGGTGTAGGTGAACTTAGAGCCCTAAAGAACGCGGAGCCCCGCTAAGCCCTAAACCCTCATCACTCTGGAGGCGAGAAGGGCATTCTTCTGCGCGCTACGATCAACTGCCGGCTGTTTTTGTCCGCCAGAGGGGCAAGTCCCGGAGAGCTACGAACCCCCCCAGACCCCTTAAGCTTCCTGAACGTCAAAAAAACAACCCCAAGGTTGAAGCCCCTGAGCGCCAAAACAGTGAAGCCCTAAACCCGAACAACCCTGAAGCCCCTTCAAGCCAGACCCTGAACTCTGCGTCGTCAGGCGTCCTCCGCAAGGCCACCACCGAGAAGATGGAGGACAACCGCGCAACAAAACAATTCCAGAAAACCCAAAGCCACCCCCCCTCCCCACCCGCCCCGCCCCAAATCCCCAAAGCCGGAGTCTCAGCTAGACCTCGAGTCCCGCAAACTCGGAGAAGCTAGAGCAGGAATGCCTGGAGGAGGCGCATGCTGCAGAGCTGGAGGCCATCTCCGTAAGATCTAAGGAGAGCTGCAGCTTAGTTGAGGGTTTAGAGCTTCAGGATGTTGGTGTTGTTTGTAGACATACGCCCAACCTCCAAAGAAGGAGGAAGTTCCCATACGTAGCTTGTCACATCTCTGCCTTCGGTCGTTTTGAACACACTGAAAGGGGCCGTACTCGTCTAGAGAGCCAAAGCTTGCAACTGTCCAGCCCCCCCGAAAGGCGCAGAGCGCCGTGGCGCTGGCAAGGCGGGAGGTGCAAGAGAGGCCGGGGGACTTCTGGGTTGACTTGGGCCCCTACCTGGCGCTCGCTTTCCCTCTTCTCTGTTGGTGGTGCTTTGTGCCCCGTGGCTTTTGTAGAAGGGCCTTCATACTGGAAACCTTACCAACCCGAAAGCCCCAAAGAACCTGAGGAGCAGCGCCCTCAAGCATGAACATCTAGTTACCAACTCCAAATCCTTGAGCCCGAAAGCCTAACTCAGAACAGCGGCCCCAATTCCAGGCAACCCGAAGTCCGGGGCCCGAACGGCCAAGTGGCCGCGCTCAAGAACAACAGCGAGGCCCTCTAACGTTCAGTCGTGCAAGGGCTTTCCGAGGCTTATAGGGGGGGTATGGCTGAATTAGGGCTTGCAAAGGAATTTCCAAGAAACATGGTTTCGACGGTATCTGCATCTCGGCCCGTGTCCTAAAGCCGAAGCTTCAAAAGAAGGAAAGCCTCTAGACATCTCTAAGCCTTCTCAGCTCTAAAGCGTCTTAGCCTCTAGAACCTAAAAGCGCCCTGTAGTTTTAGTTTTAGAGGGGAGGAGGGTTGAGGGCAGGAGAGAGCTCCCAGAGTTTCGTGCCATCAGAAGCCTTGTCCCTGCATGGCTATATGCCCTAAGCCCAAGACCTCAGACTTTCGAACGCGTCATACCTGGCACCCAGAGCTTGCTGCCAGCCATGGAAAGAGAGGAGCAACAGAAGAGAGTTTCTGACTTGGTTCGTATAGATGCCGAGCCTAAGCCAGTTCCACGGATTCGGGAAGCGAGCTTCGCTCGAGAAGCCAGGGCCCGAAAGCCCCCGAAGTACAGCAATAGGTCCGAGCAATAAATCCCAGGTGGTTCAATTGCCTTGGACGCCAAAGACACCCCGAAGCCAGAGCGGGAACTCCCCCTTGCCCTTGTCAGCCTAAACAGCAAAGCGTTCGCCATTCCAGACCTTGCCAGGTGCTTCGCTGCAAGGCGGGGGGGAGAGTGGGTTTGTTCTGGGGTTTTGCAGACACAGCTGGGCTCTGACCTGGGCCCAAGCTCTTCCGTGGTCACGAGGGCTCAGGGTTGAAGCATGAGGACATGGGAGGCTTGAAAGCTCGAGGTTGGAGTGTGTTTGTTCGGTATGGGCTTTGTACAGGGCCGAGTGAAGCCCCTGAGCTCTCCTTCTAGTTGAGAGCTGAAGCTTTCAGTCAGAATTTGGCGCAGGGTTTAGGGCTGCTTTTTTTTCGGGTCGGAGACATTGGTGCGACGAGTGTTTCACACAGTTTTGTGTGCCGAGGGAGGAACAAGTGGACAGCAAAACGGTTCAATGTTGGTTGCAGCGGCCGTCTTCCAGTCGGTACGGGTGCATTCATGGATCTTTGACATCTGCATTGCTTCTGATCTCCTAGCTCCACAAACGCTTGTCAGCCTAGCCACTCCCCCAAACCATAAGCCTGAAACAGCAACAAACCAAGAGAGACTCATGAGCACCCGTAGCCTTCACCAAACCCATCTGCCAGGTGCGCGTGAGCCACATGGAATCCGAGCTGGCCAAGTAGGGGACTGAGTCGTTCAGCTTGTTGGGGGGGGTTGGGGGAGGGGTGGGGTGCTTGAGTCAGTCAGGGAGTTCTTTAGCATTTCGGTTGAAAGTTTCGGGCTTCTCGCTTGTCGTTCGGAATTTCGAGCCTTTCAAAAGTCGGTGTGTAGGAGCTAGCACTGGGGTTTAAAAAGCTTAGGGTTTTCTGTATCTCAGAGGATTCCGCAGAATATACCAGCATGGTCGAAATCAGGGGTTAGCCTTCGACACGTACGTTGAGCAGAAGCCCTCGGCCCATCTTCGCTGCCCCTTTTTTTAACCCGCTGGAGGCTCGCTCCTTCGCTCCTTCTCCCGGGCAATTGTCATGGGGTGCCATGCAAGCTGTGAGAGGCCCGTCTGGCCTGACTGGCCCGGAGGCCAGGTAGAGGAGGTCCGTGATCCCTGTGAGCCGAAGATGTTACCAACGCCTCCGAGAGCCTTGCCTCCAGATGCGGCCACCCATCAGGTCTACGTGCAGCTGCTCAATGCCTACCTCACCATGGTGGCCACTCACCCTGACGCTTTCCAAAAGGAGGTGGAGAGGCGTCGTGAAGCACACCTTGAAGCCGAAGCGGCATGTACCAGCTGGCAGCTCTCAAAGCCAACCAGCACCACGTCCACGGCTTCCACGGAGCAGGTGGAGGTGGTGGTGGAGGTGGTGTCCGTTCGTCTGTAAAGGGACGTCCCCAAGTGGACACTCGATGCGGCTTCATTGGGTTCGCGTGACCCACAGCAGCTGGAATAGATTGGCCATATCCGCTCATGTCAATAAAGTGGTTCACACCATGGTTCAAGCTCGTCTTGACATCTTCAAAGGGGATGGACGCACCTGCCCAGCTTGTAGAGTCAATTTTGCAGCCAGTAATCCTTGCAAGGCTCGATTCAGTCCACCCGAGCCCCAAACTCTAAGCCTCAAGCGCACTCAAGCCAGCAGATGCAAAATGAAAGCACTGTCGCTTCAGGCTTGAGGCTGGATCGGGTCTCTGTTCTGGTTGGGCATTGGGCATGCCAACCACGACAAAAATATAATTGAATACGTTTGAATGTTAGACAATACATTTGAGTTCACCACCGCTGCTTGAGCGCCATTGTAGGCCTTCGGCCTCCTCCGTGGCATTCTCTTGGCAAAGCCAAGAGAATGCTATAGGGTGAAATAGACGAGTAGAAACGCCGTTCGGTAAAACTTCGCAGTATACAAAGTGTACCAAAGTCAGACGCTCATCTGCACAGATCTCCGGGCCACAGGTCCACCAGCCATCCCCTTCCACGAGTGAGGGATTTTGAGCGAAGGCTGGGTAGCAGCTCGGGCACTTCCCAGCTCTGGGGCATGCTCTGCTGGCGAAAAGGTGTGGCGCACCCCATTTCTGCAAAGACACAAGCGAAGTGCGAGCTTCGACCCTGAAGCCTGTGGCGCACAGGGGCTTAGGGGGTTACGGCCCCTGAACCCTCCGGTCCAAACTCGAAACGTCAGCAAAGTCCCACGACCTCGGCCCCCTGAACCCTGCACCAGCCGGAAACCCTGCGTAATCCCCTAAACCCTAAACCCTAAACCCTGAACCCTCGCGGGTGGGGCCCAGGTTCCGCCGCTTGGCACAGGAGGCCGGCGAAAAGATCAAGGCGGGGTGCGGGTTCGATATGAGAGGTTCTCGAAATCATGGTCCCTCTGGAGCTCATTATGATGATGATGATGATGATGATTATTATTATTATTATTCTGATGATGATAATAATTGATTATTATTATCACTTATCACTAGGACAATAATGCTAACAGTAATTATTATTGCTATTGTTGTATAGACATATGTATTTTGGCTGCCCAAGAAAAGGGACTACAGTAATTAATGGAGAATCCCTCATTTGAGGTTTGGGGTTGGTTTAAGGGCAACTCCCCAAGACCAGGCTGCCAGGGTACGGCCTGTGGCAGCGCTTAGGGCGGTTCAGGGTTCAGGTTGTGAGGTTCAGCCCTAAACCCTAAACTCCCTCTAAACCCTAAACCCTAAACCCTAAGCCAGTTCAGGGTTGAGGAATGAGATGAAGGGAGGTCGTTGCCGACCGTTTTGAATGCAAGGGCTGTGGAGGCCAGGGAACTTCCTTAGGCCTTCAGGTTCGGGCTAAGGGGCTCCAGAGCGACCCCTGATATGCCAACAGCAACAAACCCTGTGCCCGGACAGTTCAAGGTTTAGGGTTCGTTCACTCCCAAAATTCGTTGGCAAGCCACATTTTGCACAAAAAGGTTTAGAGGCCTTGTCACAGCAAGGCGACGGCGGATTGCAACAAGCGCTTAGCAGTTAAAGTGAGCGCCTCAACTCTTGCCTGGCCTTGCTAAGAAAATATCAGTGGCCTTTTTGGGGGCGTTGGGCAACGCCCGCAGGTTTTCACGTCCCTGCGAGACATCTGCCAGGAGCACTGGAGGGCCACAGCACGGCACGGGCTTCGCAGGTGTAAGGGCTTAGGATGCTTCAGAGGCTTGTTGCGATCGATTTGGGTGAGGGCTTTTTGTGACTCCTGAGCTCCAAAACTGGGCAGAAAAAACCCTCTGAACCCTGCGCTCTCCAGCCTTTAAGGGAGACTCCTAGGCCCGACACGTCCGTTAAAAATGCTGGCTTTAGAGTGTTGGGTTCACTGAGCTCCCCCCATGCACCTGAGCTATACAGTGCGAGCGGATGCGCAGGGTTTAGGCTCGAGGGAGTTAGGCATTTGGGCTTTTGAAGCATGTGAGTAAGCTTATTGACTTCTCTTGGAAATCCACCAGTAAAAGCACCATTCATGAAAACCTGTCATTAACTTAGTACCTTTTCTTCCTCCAAGCCACGTGACACATGATCTCTTCACCTTGGAAATCCTGTTAATGGGGGTTCTTGGTCAGTTAACTCACGAAGTCATGATCTGGATGTTGGACCAGCTAAAGACCCTCTAAAAACCCTTACCATTAGGAATCTCATGACAGCACACCATTAACCTCATTGAAATCGCCTGTCAAGGAACTTTGCGTCCAGCCCAAGATTCGTACGTTCATAGCACCCTAAAGCTTGACGCGAGGACGTGAACCAAGCGGAGGCAGAGGCAGAACGCGGCTCGCTCTGCAGCTCAAGGTTCCGGACTTCCCGCGCCCCAAAAAGCTCTTGTGATCTTTAAAGGCTCAAACGGCCGAGAGAAAGAGACGAGTCCTCAGTTCGTACATGCCGATTGAGGGGACTTGTTTTCCGAGCCTCCACCCAACCGCCTGAGCTAACTGAGCCGAGTAAGGCTTGTCTGCCGCTGCACAGCAGTGGGGACATCTCCCGCCGGAAGAGGTGAGGGTTCAGGGGTGATTAGTGTTTGGCGGTTTGGGAGCTTATGGGCTTTAGGGTTTTTGGGGGCTTGGGGGGTCGCAAGCCTTATAGGGCCCTTGGGTGCTTAAGGATTCTAGTGTTTCGGGTTGAGGACGGAATGTGTGACTAAGGCGTTCGGATGGGCGGAGCAGCATGATTGGGATCCATTCGCCTTCAGCGGCGGCAAGCAAGCTTTACCCTGAAAGCCTCAAAGCCGCTGAAACCTAAGCCCCTAAACCCTAGATCCCCTGATCGGGTCCGAAGCTGCTGCTAGCTCCAAGCACAGCCAAAACCCTGCAGATTCGTAGTTAATGGGCCCAAAATCTAGGGCAGAATCCCCCCACACTCGCAGAGTAGCTGCGCCTATTGCTATTGTCAAGGGGGAGGTCTCTCAAGACCAAACGTAGTAATCTTACAAACCAATACATGGGCCCGAACCGTACAAAACCTCAAGCCTATGCGCCCCGAAGACCTCAAGCCCTAAAGCCTCAAAGCCCTGAACACATGATCACCCTAAACCGCCACACCCTGAAATCCTTACAACCCTCAAGAAACACAACCACAGTCAACACCCACCGAAAACCCCAACACCTGCAAAGCGCAACCCGAAAGATCCCAAAACCCACGCCCTAAAGCCTTCAAAACCCCAAAAGACTCAGGGGCATTTGTTATTTTCCCTTATTGGGTTTAAGAGGACTATATTGAGGAATATTTTTCAGAGGGCTTTAAGGGCCATCCTAGCAGACGGCAAGCGCGGCGCCAGGACGATCGGGCCTTGGCCACGCTCAAGGCGACCGTGAGCAACACCACTGCTGAGGCGGTTGGAGTTCTCATCCTTCTGTTGGTTGCAGGTTGGTGTTGTGGTTGAGGATCCAGGGTTTTAGGGCTTAGTAAGGTCCAGGGGCAGTTGAAGGGCTAGGGCGGCCTTCACTCCACAAGGCTTGTACTTGCAACCTTGCGTTGTTGTATGTTGGGTTTGTGTATGCTTTGGTAGGGTTTGGGGCCTGGGCTGTGCAGGACTGTCTCCCGACCTAGGTCAGAACTGTCCAGAGCGATAGAGCCCCTGCATCCGAGATGCAAAGCCCCTCAACTCGAACACCTAAGCAGTCCGACCTCAACAGTCGGCTTGGGATGGTCCCAGAAAATCTTTGGGGCATGTGCAGATCTTCAAGGACCGCAAGGCATTCGGTCGGCATGCCGGCTGAGGCTTCGGGAGCTCGTCCTCAAGCTCAAACCGTCAAAACCTGAACGCTCAGAAACCCCCAATAAAGAACCCTGAACCCAGACTACGAAGCCTGCCCGCAGCTCCAGTGAAACAAGAAGCTGAGCTCAGGTGGAGCAGAAGATCCAAGCGTCGCAAGGCCGCGCTGGGTGGAGCACAAGGTTTCGGAGTTTGTTTTAACAGGACTTTGGGGTGGCTTTCGGAGCGGCTTTGGGCCAAGTTTGGGACACCCCAAGCAATTTAAGAATGTAAAACCTATTTTATATATTTAATGGCTACCGCCAGTGCCGCCGACCCCTTGGAGGCAAACGCCCAAGCTGCCCAAACCCTATCCCTTCGGTTACCCCCCCCCCTTCTCCTGCTCAACTCTGGGAGATAATGCCTCTGCTCTAAGCCCCGAAACCGTAAACCTTGGTTCTAAGTTCTGAAACGGTATATGTAAGGCCGTGGACAAACTAGGTGGGAGTAGCAACCCTTGCATGTTGAGCCCTAAACCCTAAACCCGAAACTCCTAAACTGCGCAACCTTAGCCAACCAAACAACTCAACTCCATCAGTTCAGCCACTGACTTCGAAAACGATGCTGCCGATGCAGGATCCCCTGCTGTTTAGGGTTTGGGGGTTTAAGGATTCATCCCAAACCCTTAATCCTGAGCAGAAGCGCCGGTCCGAGCTGGGCATGTCAGAAGCGAAGCGGACTTCTGCAACCCAGCATTGTTTGAACAGGACGGGTTGATGGTCTAGGCTCTCGGTTTGGTGCTTTAAGGGTTTGTTGGTTCATGGGTTCAGGGTTTGCGGTCCAGGCTTCTGGATTTAGACCCACGATAGTATACCAGAAGCACCTCAAGCAGCGTTTTACTGCCGCTACTGCTGCTGCTGCTGTTGCTGCGACCGTGCTGCAAAACTATTTTGGCAGAGATAAATCCCCATCGCTTGTTGTGCACTGGAGCCCTTTAAAGTCAGTCATCTGATCGAGTCTAGAGAGGCAAAGGGCCAGAGGCCCGTAAAACTGTGGACCCATGAGCCAGTCGGCACAGGGTCAAGGGACCATCAAGGGCGAGGCCCGTAAAACCAGGTGGCCATGAGCCACTGGCATAGGGCCAGGGAGGGGGAGGTTGGGGGGGGGCGGGTGGGGGGATTGGGGAGTTGGGGGGTGGAAGGCAGGGCCGGAGCAAGGAGGGGCGGAGCAAGCGGAGCGGGGGGGGGGGGGGGGGGTGGGTGGGGGGGTGGGGGGAAGGGCGGAGCAAACAGAGCGGGCGGAGCAAGCGGAGCGGGCGGGCATGGACTGGAGCCCTTTAAAGTCAGTCATCTGATCGAGTCTGAGAGAGGGGAGGAGGATGGAGTGGAATGGTTGGGAAGGGGAAGGGTAGTGGGAGGGAAGGGGTGGTGGTGGGGGGGGGGGCGAATGGGGGAAGGGGTAAGAGGAGGAGGATGGGAAGGCGGGCTGGGGGGGGTGGGGGGGGGTGGGGGGGGTGGGGGGGGGGGGGGGTGGGGGGGTGGGGGGGGGTGGGGGGTGGGGGGGGGTGGGGGGTTGGGGGGGGTGGGGGGTGGGGCAAGCAGGAGCGGGCGGAGCAAGCGGATGCACTGGGCGGGGGGGAGGGGGGTAGGTGGAGGAGATGAGGTCAGTGGATGAGAAGGGTGGATTGGGGGTGGGGAAGGGGTAGGGGAGGAGGATGGAGGGTTGGTGGGAGGGTTAGGGGTGGGGAAGGGGTTGGTGGTGGGTGGAGTGGGGGTACGGTGAGAGGGATGGGGCAGGGGCGGGGGAGGGATTGTTGGGAAGGGGAGGGGGGGGTGGTGGGAGGTTAGGGGCAGAAGGCAAGGCCAAGTGGAGTGGTGGGGCCAAGTGGAGAGGTGGAGTGGAATGGTTGGGAAGGGGAAGGGGGAAGAGGTTGCGGTGAGGGCAGGGAGGGTCTTCAGTGACGCCGCGCCGCTTGCTGGGGTCGGCGGATATATATAGATATACCCTGTATACATACATATATATATATATCCCTACCGCAGCCAGGCCTGGAACTCAAAGAGCTCCGGAGCATCTTCGGCCGGATCCAGAAGATTCAGAAGGCCCCACCTAAACCCCCAAAAACCCCGCCCTCAGAAAGTCTGCGGGGTGCCTGGGCCTTGTTTTGGGGCATGTAGTATTCATTCTCAGCTCCAGGATTTTGGGCTTTCTGAGAAGGAGTCGTCCCCACGGCTCCAACCACCAAGTCTGGAAGTAAAAGGCAACTCCTACGAACTTTGCCATGAAACCCCCTAAACCTTTGAAACCCCTGCAACAGCTAAAGCCGACCTAAAACCCCTCAAGCCCCATTTTGAACCCTTCGAACCGAAAGGCAATCGATGGGATCAAGGACCCGGTTTCTTCCGATCATACTGGGTGGTTAGGCGGGGGGAGGTTAGGCCAAGTCACTTGAGCCCTCGCGGCCCCGGAGCCTCAAGACCTCCAGGCCCCAGGAAGGGGGCGTGTGTTGGGGATCGTCCAGGCTTTTCAGGGGTCTCACGGGGCTGCCCAAAAGGCAAACAGCAACCCTTTAAGTTAGCTTTCTGTTTGAAGCAGCAGTTCATGCATACAAAGATGATTTCCCTTATCGTAGAGTGGTGTGAGACGGAGGATGAGCGTCAGCCCTGTGTTTGCTTTGACGACATCTGCCTTGCGTACGACAAGCCTGGCGCCCCCTTTGCAGTTACTCCTGTACCGAAAGGCCCAGCCAACAACTGCTATGTGAGCATACCACGCTCTCTTCTGGATCCCGTGATGCAAGGCAACGAAGAACGCCTACAGCGCTTCTACTCTCAAACTTTTTGGGCGAATCATGATGTTTTCGTCTGCTGCCAGGCAGCGCTAGCAATAGCAAAGCGCGGCTTGAATGTAGACCGTTGCTTCATAGGGGTGTCGCCAGGCGGCGTCGGTCAAAGTCTGTACTCTCAGCATCTAGCGGAAATGTACAAACACAATCACTGCATGTTCGATCCAAATGTGTGGTACATGGATGAGGAGCTGCGCAAACAAGTCGAGTCACTGGCTCGATGCTTCATTATTACAGGGCAAGAAGCGCCGGAATCCTCCAAGAAGCTACACACGGACCTGTACAAGAGGACCATGTCCGGCGATGGGATTATGGGCCGTAAGCCATACGGCTATACAACTCGAATGTTTTCCATTATAGGATGGAAAAGACTCGAAGTGAATCGCCTGATGGGCTTTGCGGGCGTCAACTTGTCCAATTTTAACTCGATGCTTCGAAGAGCTTTCGTGTGGAAAGTAAAGGCTCGGTTCATCGCCAAGAAATTTCTCGAGAAGTATGACGATCACGAGCTGGACGGTATCTTCGAGAGCGATCCAACTTTGAGCAAGTTTTTTACGCAAGCTCAAGCATCGATTGCTGGACACCGTCTACAATGGGCCTTCGAAGCGGAGCACACTAGAGTCGTGCTATCAACTCATTGAAGATTATGTCAATGGCGGTGATATGTACCTCACTGAAGACTCGATGCGTCAAGCTTGCGATCTTCCAATCAGACAGCGGCACGAGCAAGCGGACGCAGGACTCGCAGCTATCATCACCGCAGAAGAGACCAGCCAAAAAAACCGAGATGAAAAAGTATGCAGCTGGAGCAGACTTCAGGAAGCTTTCATGAAGAAGATGCTCGACTCTGGCATGGAAACACTGACATATCACCAGTTCAAAATCATGTCTTTCAAAGACATTCAAGTACCAAATCTTCCAAAAGATGAGCTGTGGTCGAAGCTAATGCCGCAAGAATTAGTCGTGGAAGCTTTGGTGAGGCACAAGACCAGCAAGAAGGACTCTGCCACATACATTCCGAAGATCAAATTTGCAGAAGCACTTCATACAGTTTGCACCAAAACAAAAGATGCTCAGAATATGAACATCTTGGAGCCTGAGTGAGGAGGATGCCTCAAACCCTCCAGAAACCGCAGGGAGACCGAAAGGGAGGTTTTGGGGCCTAGGGCCGAGGGTTTGATGGAGACCGCATGTGAAGTCGGAGCTTGAAGTTGTACTGTTGATCTTCACCACTCGAAGAAGGACGGCCTGTCGCGGCAAGCCCTTTTTGCGGGTTTAAGGTTTACAGCGGACCATAGTGGAAGCCAACCATAGAGAGGCTCCAGAGCATAAACTCTGAACCTTCGCGCAGGAGACCATCCAAGAACGATCGCGCTCTCAGTGCCTGGGCAAAGTCAAGGAGGCCAGGAATGGGTGCTAGGGCTGGAAGCCCAAGTTCCTACGCATGGCTGTCAGTATGTAGTAAGATAGTCGCGTGTGCTTGTAACTACCTACCCTTGGGGTTTGAGAAGTACAGCGCCCCGGCTTTTCCACTCCATCTAAAAAGCAATCACCCATGAACCTTCACCTTCATGCAGGGCTTAGCCACTCGTTCCAGCCAGGCAGTGGGAGCTTTGGGTCAGCTGGAGAAGAAGGCATCGCCACATGCCGATGCCCATAAGCCCTTAAACCGCAGCTAGTTGAAGAATTCAGAGGGGGCGGGGAGTTTCCCGGAGCAACGGTCGTCGTTTTTTGTGAGAGGGTTGGTTCCCTTCACTCGCAGAAGCGCCAAAATCTACGCCCCCGCCCCTTCCCCCCTGTCAGCTCGCCTCTTTGTTGGCGGCCGCCGCCAAGCCGGCCGAGCTGCCTATCAACAGACCTTCGGCTGCTGAATATGGGGCTTCTAACTTATGGGGGCTTGAAGGCTGGAGGCTGGAGGGATTCAGGAAGGAGCGGGCTTTCGGAGCTGAGTATGTGGATTACCTGCAGTCCAGCATGTCTTTTCCTTGGGCTGGTTTTAGTTGAGACTATGGTACATCAAGTCAGGGTTTAAGAGGAATGCAGATTTGATTCTTCAAGGCTGGCTTGCGGCAGAAACTCTGTTGGCTCCAGGGCTTCAGGCCTTCAGGGCGCCGGAGGTGTTCAAGGACGCTTTTGGGCTCGGGGTTCTTGATGGAGAGGATCCCGCGGAAGGAACGAAGACGAGCTACTGTAAACCGGCGGAGAAAGTTCTCCACTAAGCCTGCACGCCCTCGCCCCCCAAAGTCCCAGCCCTTCCCAAGCCCTTGAAGCATCCCGGAAACCCCACACCCCAAGTCCCACAAAACCCTAGACCCGCCTAAGCCCCCACACCCTCAACCCTAACGCCACCAAGTGCTTTTTGCCACGGTCGCCAAATGGCAGCTCCTCGACGGCGAAGCATGCTAAGGCAATACGGCATCTCAAGGAGCCGGATATGTGCTCTCGGCTTTCAGAGCCGACAGCTCACTCGACCGAAGCTCGAGGCTGAGTGGCAGGCTCCGGCTCCGTGTTGGTCCTGGACGCGAGGCGATTCAAGATGCTTTCACCGCCCTGCAGCTCCCCTTAAGAGCCCTAAACTCCCCTAAGCTTCCCTTCTCGAAGCCTTAAGTCACCCTTAGATGCGCTTCCGAGGTCTCCCGGACCTGCTCCAGGAGGCCAAGGCGGTGGCCGAGGAAGCGGCCGAGGCCTGCGCAGAGTTCGACTTTAACTACATGATTGCTAGCCCGTAGAACCCACCCTCGGAACCCCAACATCGGGTTCTCCAGCTATGGAATCATGAGCCAGGAAAGTAGAGGGGCGGTATCTTCTTCACGATGTGGATCTTGAGTTAAAAGGGCTAGTTAATAAAGGTGTGTTGTCAAGAACCGACGATTGGTACCTCAATGACCCTACTGTAATGATTCCATCCTAGATCCCGAGATGAAAGCATAAAGTGAGCGTTGCACGCGCCAGTAAAATTATTTTATAAGTTTACGCACGAAGATAAATGGCATTATAGGCGCGAACAAAACGTACAGCATCTTAACGCCCCAAAGAAGATATGTTATTGGGCGTTATAAGGCGTGTGAATGAACACAGTGAACACGCCAGTATAATATGCTAATAGACGAAGTGCATATTATTACCTCAGCCGCAGTGATGACCGATGTTAGCGACCAGCCGCACAACTTGCTGAAAGGTTTAGGGCGAAAGTTTTCAGAGGTGATGGACTTCGCGCTGGTTGCTTTCACAAGCTTCAAGGTTATCCTGGACTGCTATCGGGACTGAACGGCTTCTTGCACCGCTGCAGGTGCAGTCACTGCTCAGCTCTTCCCAGAAAATGCTCCTCGACAGCGACATTCTGAAGCCCTAGCGCTATACCCCTAAAACGCTTCAAAGCCTTAAACCTGCAAGCCCCCCTCATCAGGACTTTTCTGAAGGTGTCCTAGCATCCTAGGGCCTAGGGTTTAGGGGCTCTTCAGGGCTTGGAAGGTTGCAGGGGTGTCGAGGTTTGAGTGCTTCGGTTTCAAGATGTAGTACGTGCAGTTTAGGAATGAGGTTTGAAGTCATGCCATTCTTGATATGGGGGCAGTGCCCTTTTGGATGGAATTGTGCAGCCCTTTTCCGAAGCACAAAGAAGGATTAGACCATCGGCTCCCTCGACGCCGTGAAAGGTGTGAACGCCGGTTTGTACTAAAACAGCTGTAATTGGTATCTACATTGTTTTCGATCGTTTTACAGACCTATTTGTTTTTGGCTTCGAAACCCCACGGGGTCCAACTAATTTTGTTTTAGACAACCCAAACAACGCAGGCAAACACGAAGCCAAATCCCACCAACCTGTGTGACTATCATCTAATTAATGGGGGGTTTAGGCGTATGATCATGTCCACGTTGTCCCATACAACATCGTTGAAGTCTTTTGCACCCCCAAACTGCCGCATCCCGAAAGTCTGAATTCCAAGAAATTCTGGGAAACCCTGCAACGCCCAGAAAGGCAGCTGACTCTGGACGCCAAAGTCGAGTTCGCACGCCTCCAGGTGCGCTGCAAGGCGGCGGACCGCAAGGTGCTGGCCCGGGTTTTCAAGGGTTGAACCCCTGAACCCTCAACCCGATCTCCGGGGGTGGGGCTGCGAAGGGCTAGAAGTGGCATTTTAAGGCTTCTGGGTGTGTCGTCTTGGGATGATGGAAACACCGACAATAACCTACGCATGAAAACTTTGGAGACCTCACCTTTTTGAAGTCCGCAAAGCTCCAAACGCTTCAGCCCCCGGTTGCTTCACCATTCACAAGCTCGGTATCTCCCAAAGAGCATCTCGATTTCTCGGCGTGAGACTGCCAAACCAAACACCCAGACAGCTGCAAATCACTTTTCAGCCCTGCCCCTCGCAACTCAAAGCCCCCTAAGGGTCAACAATGCCCAGGCTACGATGCTTCATGATGCAGGATTGTAGGTTCATCATGGTTCATCGGCTTAGGGTGAAGGGCGCTTGGGGTATTTGCGATTTTTTGGGGGGATCATGGGCCCTAGACCCGAAACCCAGGATTGACACCCAGTGTCTCACAAGGTGAAGGCCACCCTCAGTCTGGTGTCCACTTCGTACCAGCGGCTGCACCCCGGCTTGGAAGTTCGAGTTTAAGACAACTTTGCGAGGGGGCGGGGTGGAGGGGGGAGCTTCGCAGCTGAAATCCGTCCCTCCCCCTCACAAAAAAAGCCAACCCCCAAACCCGAAATGGGTTCGCTTGGAGGTTCAGGGGTACTTATAAGTGCGGCTGTAAGGTTATCAGCTGTTAGGGTAACTTGAGCCGCAAAAATCGACTCCAACCGTATAAAAGCCTGGAAGCATATGGCTGCGTAGGGTTTCACTTCGCCGAAATGGCACATGAAAGCTTGGGGTTCAAGGGCTTCGGATTTATGGCTCAGAGCCAAGAGCTTAGGCAGAGCTTCCGAGGCACTGGGTGTTACCCTGAAACTCTCCCAACGCCTGAGGACCTCCGAGGCCTGCGAGGCAGTGCTGATGGCGCTGCGGCTAGCCGCGCGGCGCGGCGAAGGCCACAAGGGGGGTGGGGGGTGTCTTCATGGATTGAAGGTTTTGGGGTGCGGTGTTTCGGGCTTGCAGTGTGTGTTTGGGTCCCCAGCAGGCCGGTTGTCTTGCCAAGGCACCCCTACCCAGAAGTACCCATGAGCCCTCAAGAAAGGCAACTTGTACCAGCCCGACCAACTCTTCGATGAGCTCGCGGACAATACCGAGGAGCCGCGGCAGCAGGTCTGGCATTCATTCTGGGCAGCATGGCATCAGGTCGAAGCTTGATGGCCCCGCTTTCGCCTGCAACACCAAAGCATGAGATAACGCCTGTCGTTCGAGCAACGTGTTGTCGGCAAAGCATGGTCGTGCTAAATCCGCACTTTCCACAAGGAGCTTCTTTTTTCTTCAAGAATACCTTGCAGTTAGGGTTTTGGAGCTGCAGCTTCATTTCAAGACTGCAGTCGGTAGACCAGAAACCTAGATAACTCTGCAAAGAAACACCTTCACATCATCCATGGCGTGGTTCTTGAATTACCCGAAGGAAAGGCCTGAGTAGCGAAAGGAAACCTAAAGCATCCCGAAGAGGCTTGAAAGCGTAGGCTCTGCGGCCATACGGTTCCGAGGTCAGGCTCCGGAGAATGTCTGTCCAAGGGTGTTTCAATTGTGTCTTCAGGTCAGGGCTCAGGGTTGAGGTAGTGAAGCAACAACCAGAAGCAGACGCGAAAGAAGCCCAGGAGGTGAGCCAGCAACAGCTGGCGGATTTCTTCGGGCGCTATGGCCCCTTGGGATTGTCAAGAAAGCTGAGGGCATTAAGCTTACGGTAGAGGTTAGGCGAAGCCCCTATGTGGCAGTCCCCTCAAGACCTAACTACGTACCAATATGTCCGAACCCATATACGGACTTGAGGTGATTGAGCTTCAGAACTATTGGGGCTCTTAGGGCCCTTAGAAAATGACAAAAAAAATGTCCCCACCCAAACGCCCTTGGAGAAAGTGTTTTTTGAGGCCTGGAGTGCGGCCTCTCTGAGGAGAAGGCAGGACGCTTTTAGGTTTTGGGGTTTAGGGTTTTGAGGGCTTTCGAGGGTGGACTTCTTTGGCTTTGTTGCAGTGTCAAAACGAGCGAAAACAGGCGCCCCAATGCAAGACCCTGGATGGACCCCCGAAATGGGGGGTGTTGAAACCGGGGTGTTGCTTAAATGTAGGGTCCTTCTGGGAGGTTCTTTTCTCACGGCATTCGGATCATGAAACTGAGACCAGGGGGCTACAATTTACAAACGCCCGCCAAAGGAGTAGAAGGGTTCTACCGAGCCTGAAACGCCAAGAGCTGTGACCCACAGGTGCCGGTGGCATTGCAGCTGCTCGCCCCGCATGGCCTTACCCGGCGCGCGTTCTCTGCAATGCTCTCCGACTACCAGAGGCCCCGGGACTCAAAGGGGTTTAAGATGTTTTGGGCATTCTCAGGGTTTTTTGAGGGGGTTTTCGGCAGTTGGGGCTTGTAGGGCTTGAGGGATTTTGGGGGCTTTTTTGGTTTTTTACGTTAGGGCTTTCGGGTTGTTTTCCTGGCGAAGGGTTTTATCGCGTAGGGCATTAGGCTCCTGTTCCGGGCGCTTTTGCGTGCTTGCTTTGTGTGTGGTTTTGCTGTGGGGGGGGGGGGGGGGGGGGGGGGGGGGGGGGGGGGGGGGGGGGGGGCGGCAGGGTGTTGGCGGAGGGTTTGCCACCTGCAGGGTCATGCGCGCCACCACCATCACGGACAAGTTCGAGAGCCAAAGTTCTCAGGAGGCTGCCAGATTGACATCCTAAACCGTCAGAGGGGGTTCGACGGAGTCGTGTCCTAAAACGAGGCTTGGTGCTGAGGTTGCATGGTTGCGGGGTCACGACTTCGGGTTCAGGTTTGTAGGCTGCATCCCAAATGCACGAACTGTACAGGAACATTTCTCCGGGTCCAGAGATCCTAAGCTTTTGAGCAGGGCCTATACACCCTAAACCACTTTGGTACAACAAACATGGAGGTAGGAGAAGGAGAGCCAACGCGAAGAACGGAGCTGAACAAAAAAAGCAAACACAAGTCCGCACCCCGTCTCTCTATGAAACCCCAGAAGCCCCAGACTCCTGAGACAACAAACACCTACACCACCCCTTCTCGTCAAAAACGGCTGGAAACCCTTCCTGGTAGTAGGACATGAGGGAATGGGGCACCCTATATCCCCTTATATACCCTTGAAGGCACTATGTCGGGTATACCTTCTTCCCCCATTCCCTTCTAAGAACCCGGGCAAAGCCCCTCAACTCCAAAGGTGCGGAAGCTCCAAGTTGATGAGCTCCTGGAGATCCAGGGCACGATCCGAAAGGATGCACCTCGGGCGACGGGGTTGTGGGTTCTTGTCGGGTTGTTTTGCGGGGGCGTTGGGTTGGGATGTTGTCCAGCAGTCCTAACAGTCCTTAATTAGTTATGGACTATAAAGGGGTGGGGGGTCTATTCCCGATTATGGATTGTTAGGATAAGGGGGAACATACCAAGCTTTGGGGGCGTTTGGTTCAGAGGGCTTTGAGGGGGTTGTAGGGCCCGGGGTTTTGTGAGTCAGTGTGTGCGGGATTGGGGGTTGCCTTGGTTTTTGCTGCACATTGGGGGGACTTGGACTGCTACACCCCAAAACCTGCTCCGCTCTTAGATGCTCATTGGGGGTTGAAGGCCTTGGTCCGATGCGCGACATGAGACTGCTTTGGCTTAAGTTTGTTTCGACTCCGCTATTCGCTCTTGCTGGATGGCCAGCTTCGGCTGTGAAAATGCGCACAACACGGTCACCTTGGCTTCGGCTGTTCTGGTAAGTAGCCTTCGATAAGATCCGGCTTAGCGTTTAATCATGGATTTTCGAGAAAAGCCCTAGCCGCGTCGCGGCGTTAACTTTTGCATGCCTTCTTTCTGCGCAGACGCTAAACACAAAGCATCCCTGAACCTTTCGTCTCAGTGTGCAAGGTTAGGGTTCAGTATTGGGGGGTAAACTTCAGCGGGGAGCCTTTCATGCTCATACCAGAATCAGGTCTCTGCCAGCAGATGCCTCACGAGAAGCCCGACCCGAAATCATCCTACTACACCGCTAAGCCGCTAAGCCCTATGCCGCCTTTTTAAACCTTTTATGTTCAGGAGCCTTTGAGAAGTTTTGGGAGCAAAGGCCCTAAGCCGCTCAACCCCCAAAGACGACATTCTAAGGGTAGTTTCATGGGCCCTTAGTGAGGCCCCGAACCTCCTTCAAAGGGTTTTCGAAGTATGGGCCCTTAATTTGTGCTGGGTACACAAGGGGTATATACGGGGAACCCGTTTAAGTGCCCATATTAAGGGAGCATGTAACTACACCAAGACACATCCAAGGAGCCCCTTGGACTCGAACGAGTTCCTTGTGTGGCTCTGGCCTCCTGGCTGATGCAGACTTTCCGAGGGGTAAGGGATGTTGGGGCCTACTGCCATCGTTTGCCTCACTTCCACCCTAAACCTCTTGCTTCACTTCTAGGGTTTACGAACTCTGTTGTTGGGCTTCATGGTTCTTTTGTTGGGCTCTGAGGGCTTTTATTGCTTGAGGGCTTCCAGCATGGCTCTTCAAGAGGCTTTGAAGAGCCAGGCATCCCACACTTGGGCCCCTTTGGGTGCTCCGGGAAAAAAAACTCTTCCCAAGGCACTGACAAAGGCCCCGAAGTATTCCTAATGATTCGAAGATGGGCGACGCGGATTCCGGCCTACAGTGCCTCCGAGAACGGAGAACCCTAAACTCCGAAAGAGACCGCGGAGAGCTCTGGGCAGGGGTTTGGGGTTTGGGGAGATGAGGGCCTTCGGGCTTTAGGCACACTTTGCGGGACAGATTTGCATCATAAAGGCAGGCACAAAGACCTGCACAGCCGTCTGGCACGTTGACGCCTCCGAGGTGGATGGGGTCAGCGGCTGGGTCACGGCTGCAGCCCAAGAGTTGCCTTTGGGTCTATTTTGGGGGTTTTAGTTTTTTCTCTCACGAAGAGTAAACCCTAAAGGCCCTAAACCCAGTTGCCTGCCTGACGGCGCCCCTATACTTGTTGCAATTAAATTCCGGTACAGTACAGCTGCCCGCTTAATCTGCCCTGGAGGTTTCCTGAGAAGCCCTCTTCGGCCGAATGTCGGCGTTCTGTCGGAGTTCTGTCGGAGTTCTGTCCTCAAAGTTAAAATCTCAACCCCCTGTCGTATCGGGAAGCAAGACGGGACTCGAGACCACACCCCCCAAATCAAGGGGCGAAGGCCAAACCGACACACACACACACACACACACACACACCCACGCACGCACGCACGCACGCACGCACGCACGCACGCACGCGCGCGCGCGCGCGCGCACACGCGCACACGCGCACACGCACACACGCACACACGCGCACACGCACACACACCACACACACACACACACACACACACACACACACACACACACACACACACACACACACACACCACACACACACACACACACACCACACACACACACACACACACACACACACACCACACACACACACACACACACACACACACACACACACACACACACACACACACACACACACACACACACACACACACACACACACACACACACACACACACAGAGGTCCGGGCCAAAAATGGCGTCGAGAACCTGCCGCTTGCTCCCGGGGTTGCAGGTTGTCCGCAGCCGAAACTTCGGTCTTTGCGAGGCGCTTGAGGGTGTTCAGGGTTTAGGGTCCGCAAGGGTTTCAGAAGGCACCAAGTCTTAAGTTCGATTTGAACATTGGCTGCCAGGTTCTTCAGTTCTTGTTGAAGTTGTTCACACTTGTTTGCATGAAGATGCCATGAAAGCAAGGGGCTTTGTAACAATCAAGCCGCGAGCCCAAGGACATCGGCGAAGAAGCCGTACCTCTGGTGCGCAAAAGCAGTGCCGCTGCGCTCACACAGCTCTTCGGACGAGGCTGGCCCGCAAAGCCAAGCCCATGTCGGGCTCTCCCTCTGTATATTTAGAGCCACCATTCTTTTCTGTTTTCTGTCCCATCCGAGCTCTCCAAACCCTGAAGCGGCATGCCCCGAATCTACCAGTCCAGGAGAGGTTTTTGGTCCCCTTCAGCGAGAGGTGATCCGAGAGCTCCAGCCCGGGGAGTGCCTCGAGCTCCTCGAGGGCCCCAAGGAGGAGCGCTTTCGGGTGCCGGCGTCGGGCTTTCTCGGTCTTACTGGGTGTCGAAGGGCTTTTTGGGGGGTTCAAGGGGGCTTGCGGGGTTTAGGCATTACGGGCGAAAGTCATGGACTCGACCGCTCAAAGACTGCTAAGGCTAAGGTTGCTTCTGATGTTGGATCTAGATGTAAGGTCTTTTTAGGACTCAGATGTGAGATCCGAGGAGCTGACGGCGTTTCGGGCGGAGTTTAGGATGTTTTGGTATTCCGGCTTCAGGAATTTTGATTTAGGGGTGGTCCGCGTTGGGAATTGAAGATCAGCAGTTTAAAGCAAACCCCGTGCCCCGAGCCTTGACCCTACAACTGCCCAAGCAATAAACCCTTAGCCTTGCGAACTCCTGCGAACCCCGAACCCTACCCTAACCCCCCTCATGGCCCTTAAGTACCCTGAGCAAAGAGGGTTTTTTTTAACACAAACCCTCTTTACTCGCCATGCTAAATTCGATGTTCAGGAGTACCTCGGGCAGGAACAGCGCCTTCGCGGCGTGGCCTGTGGCGAGGAGACCAGCCGCTGGACGTTTCAGCAGTTCAGGGCCTTAGGATTAGGGTTTAGGGTCATCTGTATCTAGGAGTCTAGGAGTCTAGGGTTTAGGGTTTAGGGTTTAGGTGGCCTTGGGCTTCAGGGCTTGAAGGGCTTAGGTTTCGGGTTTCCTGCTTTGGCTTCTTAGTGATTTGCTGTCGGGCTTGGGGGGATCTCCAGGGCTTCTGGCATTTTTTCGAATCTAGGAGCTTTGGGGGGTTCAGGGTTTGTGCTTGATTGGGAATTTAAGTTGAAGATGCCTCTGATTGAAAGACATGTGTGTGTAAAATTGCACATATATTATTATACATGATCAGAGCGCCCGGTACCCTCAACCGCGATCACATGCAAAGGAAAGCACGGGATTTTGCGCATCTCTTGAGGTGGCTGGTTGCAAGTCCGGAGTCCGGACGGCGACGTCGTGGCCAAGGAGAGCAGCGACGCCGCACCCTCGGAAAAGCGGCGGAGAGTCTTCAGGGCTGAGGGTTTAGGGCTTGGTCCCTTTATGAGTATACCATAAGAGCCCACAGAACCCTATTCGCGCGCAAAATTCATGATCTTTATACCACTCTCAGAATCAACGCGGCTTGCAGCGCGCAAGCTATCAGAATTCCTACCTCTTCATTTATTTGTGCCATCTCGAAGATGAATCCTTTTCTTTAATCCACTGAGCTGTCTTCGAAGTGGACTGTGCCTAAATTTGCTAGCAAAAGGTTCCCCCGGCTGGATCACTTTGATCTATGATTTGCAGGGTGCTCCCTCCGAGCAGCAACAAGTGGTTTCTTGTATTTCTTGTTTGCCATTAGAGAATTGGGTACAACTTAATGCCGAACAAATTCGCGTACTTCTTCCTGGAAGGCCAGGACCCAAAAAAGATTCAAGGCTGCCTTTGGGCGCTTCTGAAAATGTAGGGCCGCTTTAGAATACGCGCATCAAATTCAATTGCTGGGGAACACGCAAAGCCCCCACGTGATACAACCTATTTGGAATGCTAATGAGCAATGTTGTTTTTGCGGGAAACTCTTGCAGTTCTCTGTTGAGCCACGAACTCTCATGAGAACTTGCCCGCGGGCTACCGACCTTGCAGATACGACCTACCGCGAATGGCACAACTCTGCCGTTGCTATTGAAGCTTCTTTGCAACACATTCTTCACATCCTCTAAAGTATGAGTCTCGAATGATCTTCTTGTGAGTGTACAAAACAGTCTGTTTCACCTTCATCAAGCAGACTTCGGTCCGCATACCCCCAAAACCCTATTCTAACTACTCAGGCCCCTATATTATACAAGGACCTCCCCCCATGAGTTCCTCCGGGCTCGGAATGCCCCATGCTTCTTGCGCATCCCTTAGTCTGAAGTTGATTCCTCAATCCCAGGTCTACAAGTGCGTGGCGGCCATCGTCGCGGTCTGAGATTTCTGGCCTGTGGCCTTGATACTGTGGCACGACAGGCTCTCCTCACCTTGTGCCATGAACATAAGAAAGAGTGTGCGACGTCGTGCGGGTGATGTTGCTTTTGTTGTTGGAGTGGTGTGGGGGGGAACCGGGTAGCTGCGCACCTGACTCTTCTAGAGGAGGTCATAACCTAATCGCGCCACAGTGTTGCGCGTGTAACTAGAAGAGCCCCAAGTTCCTATAACCCATAGCCTGGAGCAATGTAGCCTGATTCCAAGGTCCGAGTCCTCCTGCAACTCGAAAGTTGAGGGTTGAAGGCCTCTTTCTGCTGGGGTTGTGACTATGGATGAGACAGGCAGAGGCCTCCGTTTCCCAAACGCATGAGCAAAGAAGACTGAGGCCATGACCGACGTCGCCGACTTCGAGTCCTGCACCAGGGACTGCAAGCTCCTGCATGAGGTCAAAGGTTGGAGGGGGTCGCAGGTGTTAGGTTCTGTCGAGTCCACCTTAAGCACCCACAACCTATGTGACATAGGCTATGTAGGTTTCAGGCTTCGAACAATCAGTCATACACCGTGCGTCATAGCGAGTGCGCGCCATGGACTGAGTTCATCATTGCATCTGAGGCAACATGCTGCGGCGCATCGACGTCGGTGAGGCGTTGGAGCTGCTCGACGACGAGGTCAGCGAAGGTGCGACTACAGCAGTAGACTGGGCGCGGCTCGGTTGAGGGCTGAGTGGGTTCAGATACTACTAGGGATTCTAGGGTTGCAAGATACCCTAAAACGCCCAAAATCCAGGAGCTCTCCAGAATTCAGTGGTCCTTAGCATGTTGACGACTGTGTTTCAAGCGTGTTTTTGCGGCCTAATTTCCAAGCCCGGCGCCCACACCCGTAAAAATTCTGCGAAACCTGCCTGTGCAAAGCTTTGAAGAGCCTTTAAAAGGCGCGCCAAAGCCATGAAACACCCCGAGCCAGGCGCCGGAAGCCGGCGGCAGAAGTTCCGGGCATGCAAAGACGGCGCGGAGGCCCTGGTTGCGCTTGGGGAAGGGGGCGACGCAAATGGATGTTTCCGACGACTGGAAGGTCGTGGTGCTAGTCATGGTGGTGACGGTGGCGGTTGTAGCAGGAGAGCAGAGGAAGCAGCAGTAGGGTGCTTAGCTTTGGTAGTAGTAGGAGTCGCAAGGCGACTCACGTCAGGTCATGAGTTTCGAAGGCGTTGAACTGACACAGCCGACTTGCCCCTGCAGGGCTGGGTCACCATAGCTGGAAACCAAGGAACCAGCTATCTGAAGCAAGCAGCTGGACTGAGATTGTAAAGGCTTCGGGGTTCTTCCTCCTGCCACATGAACCCTGAGCCTGAAGCTTTGAACTGTAGAAACCCCCCCCAAACCAGATGTACATGGAGCAATTGACAGTTTTTTTGGGGCTTGGGGTGCCAAAGGGATTTGCACTTTCGCCACGGGATCCGGGGCTAGCAGCCAAATGTTGCTAAACCCTATCCCTCGGTCTTGAAACAAGCCTCCAAACCCCAAACCGAAGCCGACACCGCAGCGAATCCAAGCCCTGCGCAATGGTTCAGGCGACCCAGGCGGTTGAGGGTTGAGGGTTGAGGGTTTGGGACCCGAAGCCGAGGTCAAGCGGCACTACATTTGCCTCCGGGCCTCACCCATCCACGCGGACCTGGGTGCGGAGAGCGGCGTGCTGAGGGTACCCCTTGGCTTCCTGTGATCGGGTTTCGGAGCTTAGCACGTTGTAGGGTCACAAAACCCGAAACGGCAAGCACCAAACCTGCCGGCACCTCGATTCCATCAACCTCCAGCCGAGCAGCAGCGACCACCATTGCAGGTGCTGATGGCCGGCGAGGCCTTCAGGGCCTTCGAGGATCCCAAGGACTCGCCCCCTGGACATCCTTTAACCCGAATGACTTCCTAATGGTGTCCGAATTGACGAAGTAGGCCACCCCACCTTAGGGACTTAGGGCCTCAGGGCTCAACGCCTCGGGGCTTGAAGTTCGGCGGGCTGTCCCGAAGTCGGATAAGATACGCTCCCAACGCCCATCCCGGAACTGGGGAGTGCTTGGGGTCTTGGTCGCAAACTTAGAAACCAAGTTAGAAACCGAGGGCTTGGGGAGATTCGGACTACAAAGCTTCGGCCTTTGGGCAGCTGCTCGATGCGGAGTTGAGTGAAGGTGATAACGCAGAGCAGGCCGTTATTCCCTTTTTGTTTTTTAAGGGTTTGGGTTGGCTTAAAAGCAAATCCGCTTGGGTCCAGTTCAGGGCACACCGAGCCATTGAGCCTTCCGCAATTCTGTGCACATTATTCGGAGGATGTATACTTTAAATGACGACTTCTCTGGGAGGGGAAGATGCAGCTCTTGGGCCCATAGGCATAGGGATGTTGAGCGCGCCTTCTGCCTCAGCTCCAGGATGTGAATGGTGGACAGCCGCCGGACTGCAGCTTTGCGGTTTAGGCCTTAGGTGGGGTATGAAGCCCTGCCTCTCAAAGCTTAGCCCCCGCACCCCGCCCTTTTCTCATACCCAAACCCTGCACCCTGGGTGTGTTTGGGACTTGGGGGGGGCTCTTCGGGCTCTTGGGGCTCGCTTCGGGGCCTCAAGGGTAGTGGGGGACGATTCGTTGAGTGGCGGATCTGCCGAGCCTCCCTCGAGTCGAAGCCATGACAAGGGGGTGTTCGGTGTGTTTGGAGACCTTAACGTCCCACATTTTTGCTGCAGGCAGCGAACTGTCTACGTTGCACGCGCTGTCAAGGCGGGATGGATGCACGTGCCGACTCAGCGCCTGAAGGGCCTGAAGGCCATTAAGCCCCGCAACAAGCAACTTTGCCAGAGAGCACGGTGGACATTGAAATTCAAGACCTTCGGCAAACTTGGGTAGGGTTCCGGAAGCCCAACCGAATCCTGAACCCTGCTCGAAGATTCATGGGCTGTCAGTGGGGTTGGACCTGCCTCAGGTTGATGAGCGCTGCCGCGTTTACAGCCCTTAGACGTGCCCCCCATCCATGGTGCCCCCCATGAAATGTGAGAAGAACCGCTCCCCGGAGGACGGCGCTGAAGGCTGGGTGGTCGTGACTGCCGGCGAGGTTGTCCCCTGGAGCCTCCGGACTCTGAGAACGTTAGGGTTCCCGTGCTTCCGAGCCTTCTATAAGTCTTATAGCCTTAGACCCTGAACCCTCAAGACTCTTCAGGGAGGGCATGGTTGCTTTGAGGTTTTTCGGTCAGATTCCCCAAGGTTATGCAGCTTGCATATCGAGCTCGCTTATCCGAGTAGGGGACTTGGGAATCAGGAGTCATGGTCAGACATCGAGTTCTTAAGGTTCAAGGCTTCAGAATGTAGGGAATGGGGGCTCTGCGGAGGGGATCCCCTTGGAGCTGCGACCTTGCGTTGCTGCGTTTCCCGAGGTCCAGTCTACAGAGCGCCTTGCCTCGAAGCGTGGGGATGTTTGGGGACATTCTGAGTCGAAGTAGGCGAGGGTGTATGTTGCTGAGAGATTTTTGGGTCCCCGAAATCAGCCTAACTAAGCCTAACCCCCCTCGCGCTTGGTCCGCGTCCTTGCCAAGCTGGAGGTGGCCCGAGCCACGCCGCTCTCGCAGACGCTTCCCGGCCATGAGGCCGAGGTGCTGCGGGTGCCCCTCAGCTGCCAGGAACTTTAGCGAGTTTTTGGGGGGCTGCCTCTATGGGCTGCTGGGGGCTCTTAGGGTCTTTTTCTGAAATCCAGCTTTAGGCTTACCACGGCTTTCCTGAGTGATTTCCCGTTCGGCGCGGCTCGGCGCGGTGCACCCCCCCCCCCTTCTCAACCCCCAAGCAAGACACAGAAAACTGGGCCTCCAGGCATCTGAGGGGCTTCCAAACACCGACTTGTGGCCTCACGGCCACATGATTCAGTGGCATGTCCCCCCCCCAAGCTCTCCAGGAAGAAACCCTGAACCCCTCTTTCCTGTGGATTCCCAAAGACGATCTAAATGTGTAAGATACCTTCGGGAACTTCATCATTTGATGCGACCGAAGATTTAATAGGACGAGACAAACATATGCAAATCACACAGGCCAGGCGGGCCTAGGCAAGCCCGTTTTCCATCGCTGACCTTGTATAAAATCTCCTTACCTGCCCAAACACCATTGCAAAAATGTAAAAGGCAAGTAGACCAATTTATATGTTTGAACCTTTTCGGCTGCCCAGACACACCCCAAACCCTGGACAAACCTGATTGTTCGCTCCTGCTTCTGCAGATGCTACACCTTGCCGTGAACGAAGAATCTGTGCTGACGCGCTAAATTTAGGGGGCCTTAAGGGCGCTGAAGGCTTAGGGTGTTTAGGCACTACTAGCCGTTGAAGGGGGCAGACTTCAGTTCGTTTGCTCACAGCCCCGAGATTTCGGAAGATGCTTGGAGTTTGCAGGGTTTAGGTTTCACCGAAGATCATGGGTTTGAGCGACTGGGCTGGAGGGATCAAGCGCTTTCAGCTGCCCGGCCCTAAGCCGCCTTATCTCTCCCGAAACCCTGTCTAAGGCCCTCAACCGACATGCAACCAAAACGCATCAAGACGCTGCTGCCTAGTAGACTCAAGTCCAACCCTCCAAACTAGCAGGCTGTCGCCCGGCGAGCTGGTGGAGGCCACAGGCCCGCCGGTAGAGGATTCCTCCACCGGTCAGCTGAGGCCCGGCGTTATATGGTCCGGACTTTGTGTTCTTTTGTGTTGGAGGAGTGCGATGTTGAAGTGACCCCGGATGGTATTGGGGAATGGGGGGGCGGGGGAAGCGGAGGCGGGGTGCATGGTTCGGCCGTTGTTACAGGGTGAGCTGCCTGGCTCTTGAGTCTACTGTAATCAGTAATCAGCCCGCTTTCAACTGCCATCCCGAAGTCCGGCACCAGAGTCCAAACACCTCAATGGGAGGATGCGAGCAGTCGCCAAATCAGACATGGCGGTCGGTTGGGTCACGGTGAGCGCTCTCCTCAGATGATGGCTTGGGAGGAGGGAGAGGGCCTTCAGATGGGTGGGGCTGACACCTACACCCTAACCGGGACCCATCCGCCTGTGCTCTCTACGAGTAGATGCTCACCGGATTCGTAGTGCTCGGAGTCTGTCCTACACAGACGTAAAATCCCTTGCACCCGCCACCCCCTAGCCTGATACGATCCTGCCTACAGAATGCCTCCGTAGCGAAGATACGAACTACCCTTTAAGCACCCCACTCTAAAGTCGAGAAGTCCAACCCAGCTCTTCCAAGGCGACGCCGATGCCCCCTCCGGCATGGCGTTGCGTCCAACTTCGGCGGACGAGGAGGAGGCCCTGCACCATGAAGTTGAAGTACAAACCGTTAACCGCTAACATGAAAGGTGATGAGGACGAGCGTCACCGGCTCTTTGTGTTCATCTGGGGTGGGGGGCTTTGGTACCACTCGTAAACCGGCTTTTGGATCCAGAAGTGAGCGAAATTAACGCGAAAGCGAGAAAATGCGATCAAAATGGTATAGCTGAGGATTTTGCATGGAAATATTTGTTTCCGTTTAAGTAGTTTACACCAAGGGCATTGGGCTTTTTAGATTGTTGGGATGCAGGGGTTGGGTTTTGAGCTTCAGGGCTCAGGGTTCAGGGCCCACAACTGCAATGCGTTGTGGAAACAGAGTGAGGCCAGGAGGTCTGATTTGCAGCTTCCATATTGGCCTAGCAGTAGAGTAGGTTCCCTTTAACCTTTTTGGGCTCGTATAATCCCCTTATAATCCCCAAGGTAAACCTTTAATTCCCTCAGGTTACTGGACAACTAGGTCTGCGTGAAAGGCTAGAGGGGCTGAAATATGTCTAAAGCTTAAAGCCCAAAAGCCTAAACCCCGAAACCCTAAAGCCTCTTCTGGTGGAACATGAGCTCGATTTCCCTCGCTCCCGATTGGCGTGCTGGGCCGAGCCCCAGGCCCTCACAAAGCCTTGACCCTTGAACTTGCTGGTTTTCCTTGCTTGTGTGGGAAGAACGAGTGTCTCCCTCCCTGGCTGTTGGAGAAGTGAGGTTTCGGGATTTTGGGCCTCGGGCTTGTAGAGTGTAGCGTTGGGCGTCGTGGGTTTTTGACGGGTTACGGTTTGGGATTCCCTAGACTGTGTTCTAACATGTTTCTCTTCGGCTTGAAGCAACTAGAATGTTGAATAGCCGAGAGTTTGCCACGGAGTCACTGGAGGTTTTGAAAGGTTTTAAGTTATGGCAGGAAGGGGGAGGGTCCGTAAGGCTCCCTTGGGTTGCCTCGTAAGGACCCAAAAAACTCGAAGACCGGAGCTCTCAGTCGCCCAGAGCCGCATTTTTCCATGGCCTTTGGTGCTTCCCTTCTTCTTTCAGAACATTCAAAACAAGTCGATCGGTGTAAGAGCGCGTGATCACTGGCCGGGCCACCCAATTTCTTGAAGCAGTTGCGCTATCTGCCATCGAGAAAGCTACAAATGACACCCGAAATTTGGATCTGGGTTTGGCCTAAATTGCAGGGGCACGCCGTGCTTACGTGCGTCACAGGCTGTGTTGGCTTTCAAGTTTCATCTTGCGACTCTTCAACACAGTCTCAAACGCACCATGCGCTTGCGAAGCGCGAAGCTTGCAGATGGACTTACGGTGGGCAGGGTGGGTTTCGTGAAAAACTTGAGGCATCACAGCGACTGTGAACAACATGCTTGCAACTGCATGGCATGACATATCGCAGGACTGCAAACTGCACATGCTGTAAAACCTGTCTTGTTCTCAAAAACATCTCGTCAAAATGTTGGCAATGCATGGCAGCATGGCATGATATGCCACAGGACTGCAAACTGCACACGTGTAAAACTGTCTTGTTCTCAAAATGCATCATCAAAATTTATGCCCTCAAAATAGCAAGAAAACTCAAGATAATGTAGCCCTCAGCTGCCTTCAGAGCAAAGTAAACGAGCGGTGTATAAGTGGTATGCGGATTACGTCCTGCATCATTACAAGACCATTATAGGACAGCTTAGGCAACCTACGAAAAGCAAGGCTGGGGTATTTAAGGTAGCCAATTGAGGGCTTATAGGGCGTCTGAGAAAGTTTCTCGCGATCGCCAAGCTTTGTTTTTCTGGGCTGCGGCTACCAGGAACTCTACAAGAAACGATTTGGAGTTCGAGAGTTTTCAACATGGTTAAGACAAAGGTTAGAGTCAATTAGTTGTACTTGTGTTCGTTTTTTGCTTGCAGGAAGCCTTTGAAGCAGAAGCGGAAGATGAAGGCCTGCGCGGGGGTGGGGCAGAAGAATCTACAGAAGCTGAAGCACGAAGCCCTGAACCCATCTGGCAGTTTTTTGGAGCCCTCTTCCATTCGAGAAATTTCCTGTGAACTTCGAACTTAGGCTGCCCAGCGTTCAAAACAAGGTTTGAGGTTTAAGCCATGAAGGGCCCATCTCTTGCCCATCGGCTTCCTCTTCTCATAGGCCCCAAACCCTTCAAGATCCACTTCCAGATTCCTGACCTCGACCCGTCGCAGGTGCCGATTCGTGGGTTCCGCCACCCAAGCTGAACACCAAGCAAGGCAGGACGCGTTCTAAGGTGTAGGGGTTTAAGTTTGCAGTGGGGCGAAAGGGTTTCAGTAGGTTTTTGTTGGGTTGGGGGCTCACGTTTCCGAGGTTCAGGTGCCCCTTACCCCCGAATGCCTCTGGATTCTGGGTAGCTTTCACAGCGAAGGCATTCGCAGGACAGCATGGACAAACTTCCTTTCCCCCCCCCAAACATCCGAAATCCCTCAAACATCTCTGCAGACTCCGTACACTTTCCAAACTACTGGTATACTCTCTGAGATCCCAAACGAATTCTTATAAGCCCTGAACTCTTGTACATCCTATATATATATATATACATATGTCCTGGGCCCGGCGAAACCCTTCTAACACCATTGCAAACCTCTAAATGCTGCGAACAATGACACCTCACACAATTCTGCTTGGGGCGGGTTGCGCGTAAGGGGGCAGGTTGGTTGTTCCTTGTGTTCCCCCAAGACCCCCCTCTCAGCAAAACACACCCTCACACACCTCACAAAGTAAGACTTCTGAAAACACCTTTGTAATTTCTACACACATCAGTAGCATGACCGTTGTAGCAGATGCTGTGCCCAGACGATTGAAGGTATGATAGAGGTCTTTCCCAGCCCCAAGCACCCGCAACCTTACGAGCTCGAGGCAAGGGCGGCAAGGCCTGGGGAAAGAGACCCTGGGAGGCCGGGGTTCGGGTTTGGGTGGTTGTTGGGCGTTTTTGGTTTGGGACTCGTTTGCAGAGTTTGGGTGTTGCGCAGACTTGTTCTTAGTTGTATGATTTTTCTCTGCTCTGAAAGCGTTTCATGTGTGGCACTCCATTCCGCAAGATCATTCAAGGGCCTCAACGCCCCTCAACATCAGTTCCTGTTTCCGGAGAGACCATTGGAGGGCGACTAAACTAGAGCTTTTCTTTCAATGACTGGAAGGTTCATAAGAAGGAGAATGGCTCGGAACGGACTTTACTTGGAGGTTCCTTGGTAGTTCTACGTGGGGTAAGCAAGGTGGCTAGAATTCTCATTTTTTATATAACACTATACTCGTGAACCTTTCAAACAGATTCGGGTTCAGGGGGCGAGGTGTCCGGCTGTGTCCCTCTAGCTGCGTCTTTTCCCAGGGCCGATAAATGGCATGTGCCCTCATGGATGCAGGAAAGGCCCCGCTTCTTCTGCTCAGACATCTGGATTCCTAACCCTAAACCCTAAACCCTAAACCCTAAAAGGCAAAAGTCCGACTCACTTTCAAAAACCCTCTAAGCCTCTAGACTGGAAGACCGATTTCGCAGACCTGCCCAGGATGGTTCTCCCCCAAATGCTAGCTGGAGGTCCATCCCTTGGAATCATGGCGTAGTGATAGGATATGTGGGATAATGGACCCCCCAAATAATTAGGATTCCCTTACAATAAGGACCCCAATTAGGTACCCCTAATGTCGGAAACCACCATAGTCAATAGTCTGGACAGGCATCAAATTTGGCCAGGCCCATCATCAAATTTGGCCAGGCCCATCGGAGAGGCTTCATAGCAAGTGCTTGCTGTGAGTTTCTTGTCTGCACCTTCAACCGTGCCATGGTGCGCGTGTGGTCTAACCAGTCGCCGGCGGCATATGAAGCAGCCCAGGAGTTGGGAGCTTTCAGGGCATCTCCCGAGCATTTGGAGAACAAAGACTTTTGCAATCCGGATTCTTACAATTTCATGGCGCGAGAATTAGAGACGAGAGTGGGGCCATGCCCGCCGGAAGTTGTTGACACCTGGAATGAAAGGGGAGGCTCCGGCACTCCATCGCCAGTTTGGGTCTGGCTTCAGTACGAAAGTCGCGCGAAACCCGCGTACGTGCCAAATGCAAGCTGTTGTGGAAGGCGGAGCATTTGCATCGAGGCAGAGATCAATCGCGGAGATGTCCTTGGCAGTCAGTTTGGAGCTTTCCACCATGTCCTGAACGATTGTATGATCCCTCTCACGGAGGAAGAGGATGACGAGCTGAGGAAGCTCAAAGACACAGAGCCTGAACGCTGGCAGGAGCTGAAGGTGCAGTCTTGGCAGCGCATCTTTGACTTAGACTGGCAAGGAGAGGAGTACTGCCTTCAGAGAGCAGATGCTGCGCAGATCCAAGGCGTGCTGTGGCAGCTCCCCATGCCTGCTGTACAACGCGCGCGTCGCATCATCGAGATCGGAGAGTCGCGTGGAACCAAGGGGGTTGAGGTAGACTACTCAGGTGTCGGTGTGGGGGACGACGTGCAGCTCCGGGCAGAGTGGATCTCGGTTCGTGGCTACAATCCACCCCTTCACTTGTGTGTCACCGTGACTTCTGTGACAAGCGGCGGTCGTGCTGAAGCACTGGGTGTGCGTGAAGGATGGACCGTTGCGTGCATACTGACCGCAGTACACGATGAGGACCCCTTGCCGTTGCTCGTGGAGCAGCAGGGTGTCCACGTGTCTGGCAAGATCTATCCCAAGAATCAGCCGCCACCAGCAGCAGAGCTACGGGAGCAATTGCAAGGACTGCGAGGAGTGCAAGTCTTCTTTGAGGGTTTGAAAGAACCAGACTCGGATTCGGATTCGGATTCGGGTCGAGAGATCTACGATGAGTCCCAGCAGATACCGGTCTTGGACGGTTTGAAAGATGGTTCGGATTCGGACTGAGTCGATGAGTCCCAGCGCATACCGGACATATCGCAACCGTAGCAGCGGCACCACAGGTGGCCCTGCGCACAAAGCATCACAGAGGCATGGGTTCTGAGAGGTCGAAAATGTAAGGGTCTAGCGGCGCAGGGAACCCGCACACGTCGCCTGCGCATGTTGGGGGGCTATACCCTAGGTTTGAGGGTAGTTATAACCTACTAATTTGTAAGGATTGGGAGTCGCAGGTAGGGTCTACAGATGTCTACAGGAGGTCATAGGGCTGAAGGTTAAGTCCCTGGGTTCTGGACTCTTCTCAGTTGTTGTTGTGCGTATGTTTCGTCAGGGTGTTTGGTGGCGTTAGTAAAGTGCTTTAGGGAAGCGTGTTTTGTCAGGGTTTTTTGGGTTCCGGATTTGCTTTGGGGGGAGGGTGTTGGGGCTTCGGGTGTGGTGTTTGGCATTTGCGGGTGACGCTTTGAGGGCTCAGGGTTTGTGCACTACACGAAACGAGGCTGACACGGTGGATACGATGAATATGTCGGCACATGTACTCGCCGTTCAAGCCAGCCCTGAAACTTGAAACCCGAAAGCACAGCGCCTTCTGCTAGCGGTTTTGTAGGTTTTAGGTTCGAGGGTTTGGGGGAGCGACCATCTCAACCTCGAAGTCCTAGCCCAAGGACCGGTTAGACTTCAGAAGGACCTGAACCTTGCCCCCCTGCCACCACAAAAAGCCCCTAGTTCGGGGCTTAGGGTGCTAAGGGTCGCCGACCTATTTGGATTGACCTCCCCGAAACCCTGAAAGCTCCACAGGTGAAGGAAGAGATCTGGGACGATGCCACTCCGTGGTCCTGGGGCGCCAGCAACACCAGGGCGCGGACTCAGGGTTCAGGTCTCGGGTTTAGGGTTCAGGGTCTCGGGTCTCTAGGGTTTAGGGTTCAGGGTTCAGGGTCTCTAGGTTTTCGTCTTACATCTTTTTTGCAGGTTTTTTTTGCAGGTCCGAGGCCCCAAACTCACTTAGCGCACCCTGGAAACTCACGAGAAGCCTGAGAACCCTAAAGCCCCCCCTCGATGAACTACTAGGACCCATTATTTTCTGTTTTTTCGGGTTCCGTTATAAACCCCTTGAAACCAAAAAGGGCGCCCTGTTTATTCCTATTTCTCTTGGGCCTGGATTAGTGGGAATCTTGGGCTTATAACTGGGAATTTTTAGGGAGGGCCCAAAAATCCCTTGCTTTTTTGTGGCGCCGATTAGATTTGCAGGCTAACCAGCTTCTTTTTTGGGGTTGGGGCTACTCTGAGGTTTCCTTTAATCCAGCCTTGCTGTTTTTGGCGCCTAGCTGTGATGTCACGGCTGAACCCCAACATCCTAGTCCCACGCTCGAACCCGGCGCCCCAACCCCACACGCTGACACCTTCTGACCCTCCCCAAAAGCCCTGGGTGCATTAACGGCGCAGTTGCAACTTTGGCCCAGGGATGGCAGAAGAGAGGCACCTGGAGGGCGTTCAGGGTTTAGGGATTGAGGTGAACGTCGACGTGCTAAACGCCTACCCGCCCCTTCCCACCTACCCCACACCTGTGCTCGATTCAAAGGGTGGGTTGCCCATGTGGCTATAGAACCCTAGCCCTTGTAGAATTGCTGTTCATGTCGGATCGATCAGATCGGCCTCCTGAACGGACGTGGCGGGTGTGTTTACAGTTCGGTTGCGCGATGTTGTGGGTTTGCGTATGTTCCTTGCGTAGGAGGTGTCATCTGAGGTATAGGGAAGAGAGAGGTCCATGCATGCCCAGGATATAACCTAAATCCTAAGACGGATTCTATGTCAGGATCTGAGGTTGCAGGCGGCGGCATTGGCAAAGGGCTTCTTTAGGCATAGTCTTTGCACCCTGCACCCTGGATAAGCCTGAAATCCCAAGCTGGCAGCTGCCAAATACCTCCGAACTTTTGGTAAGATAGCACCCATTTCGCGCCTGCTTCCCTGTAATTCTGAGTTTGGGGGACTAACTCAAAGCGCCCGCTCTCCATCTTGCGGCGTCAGGGCGGCGATGGTGAATCGCGGGCAAAGCTCCGCCGAAGATCGAAAACCCCTACTTTGTAGGTTCAGGGGTTAGTTGTACAAGTGCTGCCCAAAGTCCGTAAGGGAAGGTGGTGAAAGATGCTGAGGAGCTCCGCATTGGGTACGTTTTTGTTAGTGGTTATTTTGGGCTATTATTTGTCCTGGTAAAGAAAGCCAACAGCACTGCAGTAGTCGATCGACTCTAGTGTTCCAAGTATATACTCGAAGCTCTAAGCCCTCAACCCTGAAGCTGGTACCCTGCCAAGCTCATGGGGGGGAAGGTCATCTCGGAAATTACTTCACAACGCCTGGCTTTGGCTGTCCTGACCTGGATGCCGCCAGAACAAAAAGTCGCGCAAGCGTTAGCTCTAAACTCTCACTGCAAGTCACGGTTCATGGGGAGTCGGATTGAACACGCGCAGTTCAGTGCTTTCTTGGGGGCCGGGGCTGAGAGATGCGGAGGGCCTATCTACGTTCTTGAACTCGACTCGAGGCGTGAACTCGGCGCTGCTTCGAGGAGCCAAGGAGGCCTCGCCCCGTGTGGAGGGTGTTCGGGGGGGGGGGGGGGGGGGGGGGGGGGGGGTTGGGGCGGATGCATTTTGGACTTATGGCTTCTGACTAGGTTGCACCAGCCCTCCCCCCCACCCCCCCCCCCCCCCCCCCCCCCCCCCCCCCCCCCCCCCACAGCCCTAAACTCCAAAACCCAAGCGCTGCACTGATGCGCTGCGTTCGCTACAGGCTGAACGCAACAAGCTGAAGCTGGAGGGGCAGCTGGCGAAGGCCGCAGTGCTGGAAGATCCGACGCCCGTGCTGGAATTCTTTGAGGCTTCAAGTTTCAATAGCAGCTTCAGGGTTCCGTGGTCTAGGGTTTTTGGGGCCTTGAGGGCTCCATGTTAGGGAGGCGGCTGGGCTTTACGCTTCAGGGCTGAGGGATCCAAACCCCTTTCAAGCGACCCCCTTGACCGGAAGAGACCGTCAACTCTTTTGGGCGGTTGATCTAAAGTATGGGCCGCTTTTACGGAATGAGCCAAAAGGACTTAGGGGCTTAGGGTTTTGGAGCCTAGCTAGACCCGGTGGTTGCACCTGCCCATGGCTGAGGAAGGAGTATGCGCGCGCCTCAGCTCTCAGCTCGGGCCTGCATTTGCCAGGGCTCAGGGGCTTTTTGGGACTTTTTCAGCTTTTGGGGTTAGGCCACAGCTGGGTCAGAGCTCAATAAACTTCGTTACATGCAGCTGTTGCATGCATTCTACAGGTCAGGGTTTCCCTGCTCTTGGAGTTTCAAGTTACACCAACACCCTACTGTTTGGGGCTTAGGGCTTAGGGAACCCAAGCTTCACTTCACATCCAAGGAGATGCCCCCTTAGATCATAGTGTTGGCGACCTCCCGGGGCCTCCAGGCACTCAAGAACCTTTAAATCAGGGGTTCAGGGTTAGGACGTTACAAGCCCGTTCCTGCAAACCCGGCTCCAAAGTCTTAAGCCCCCGGCGTCAGAAACAACAACTTTAACCTTGGATCACGGGGTTGGAAGTTGAGGGTCTATAGGCTGCACTATATATAGACAGATGTTAATGTTATTATTTTACTTGTAGAATCAAAATGTTATACATATATATATATATACATGCACATGTGCAGCTGGGCCTCCCGGGTCAACGTTTAGCGCCCCCTCCGCCCCACCCCCGAGGCAAGGAAGTCCACCATGCTCGCACGTGCGGCCCTTGTACGCGGAGTTTGTGCGGTCTCAGAGCAGGGATTGAGAGTTTGGAATAAGTTGGGTCTTGTTTTAAGGGGCCAATACTCCTAGACAAAGGGTTGGTGCAGTCTATAGCAAGGTTACCAAGCGGTCCTTTGATGGCCCCGCCGAAGGCTAGGAGGGCAGGGACGGAGCGGCAGAGGCAGCGAACTCCGCAACCTGAAGCAGAGGATGGAAAAGGCCAGAACAAGAAGCATAAAAAAGGGCCCTGGTGCCTGAGGCGGCGATTGAAACTTGAAGAGGACGGAACGTTGTGTTGGGCCGTCGGGGAAGAGCTTGTATCTGTGTTCATATGCAATTCCTGAGAACACTTGAGTTCCTTGAGCCTTGGAGGTTTGGCCTTTGAAACGCTGTTCCTTTAAAGCAGGCACCGCGACGCAACTGCCAGATGCACCGGCAAAAACGCGGAATTCATAGCGGAGCAGCCTACACTGTCTTCCCTACCACGAGGTTGTCTCTCAAGTCGCGGCAACTAGCAAAGACTTTCTACTAGGCCTGGAACCCTGAACTCCTGCACCCGGCCATTTCGGGCCAAAAGTTTTGATTGTACAGGCACCTGCGACAAGGTTGCGTCTCACGAGATTGGGCTTGGAAAGGGGATTCGGATTCAGAGAAGATCGTGGGCTTTGCGGCTCTGACTTCTAGAAAACCTCTCCTACTCGTTCGAGGTTTCACCAGCATCACGGACACTCTTCAAGAGCTGGGGCCTGAGATGGCCTGAGCATCTGCAAGGCACTTGCGGCTCATTCGCTTCCTGTGTGTGCCTCTGAAACCTCATGTCTCTTTGCTGTGGCCCCCCCTCCATCAACAGGCTGAAGGACGTGGCCCAAGAGGCCTCGGATGCGAAGCAGCTGGCTGGAGCCTTGCTCTGGTATTTAGGAAAGAGCTTGAGAGCGCCCCTGGTATGCCTCAGGGCATCTTGCCCTCCAAGCTCCGACCCTGAAGTCCTTGATGCACGTCGTGCCGCCAAGCGAGAAATCCTCAAACTCTGGTCAAGTTCTGTCGCCCAGGCTTCCCAGTATTCGCCGGGAGATGAGATGCACGAGCTGGCATTGGAGGAGGGCCCCTTAAGCCAATCTTTCTCTCTAGAGCTTTGGGGCCTTCGAGTCGCAGAATGCTCCTCCCCAGGAAGCGCGAGGTCTCCGCCAGCAGCAGGAGAGCTGTGACACTGCCCACACTGCCCACTGCTCAATGCAACACTTCCCATTGCGCGCC